ATTCTCTCCGTTCGAATTATTATTCGGGAGGAGAGTGAGGGGACCTCTTGACTTGATACGGGAACACTGGGAGGGAGACGAAACCATTAATGGCACCCCTATCTTACCATATGTGCTCGAGTTCAGGGAACGCCTGGAGAGGCTGACCCAGACCGTCCGAGACAATCTCCAGGTAGCGCAGCAGCAACAGCGCAGATGGTACGATAAGGGAGCCAGGGACCGCAGCTTCCAGGTGGGGCAAAAAGTACTAATCTTGCGACCAGTCCACAAAGATAAGCTGCAGGCTTCCTGGCAGGGCCCATACAAGGTGGTGGAACAGATCTGTGACACCACCTATGTGATCGGCCCGGTTACAGGCATGGGAGGCAAACGCATGCTCCATGTGAACATGCTCAAGCCGTACCACGAACGTACTGAGGAGGTCACCGCAATCTGTGCCCCTGCCACAGAAGATTTTGACAACCTACCCCTACCCGATCTCCTAGACCAAGAGGGCCAGAGCGGAGATCTGGGAGAGGTACAGTTAGGAGAACGATTAAATGCCCAAGAGCGGGCTCAGGTACAAAGGTTGCTTCAGGAAAAGAAGGCCACGTTTTCCAATTTACCAGGCTATACCCCTTTGGTTACCCATAAGGTAGAAACTTTAGATCAGACCCCCCTGCGCCAACCCCCATATCGCACTCCAGAAGCAGTCAAAGAAAGTATGCGCAAGGAAATTGAGGAGATGATTCAGTTAGAAGTGATAGAGCACTCGGACAGCCCCTGGGCCTCCCCGGTAGTACTGGTGCCGAAACGGGACGGGCCGACCCGTTTCTGCGTAGACTACCAACGGCTCAACGATAAAACGACCTCTGACGCATATCCCATGCCCCGGATAGACGAACTCCTCGACAAAATGGCCAGGGGCCAGTACCTAACCACCATAGACCTGTGCAAAGGGTACTGGCAGATTCCATTAGCGGAGGACGCCATCCCTAAGTCGGCCTTTGTCACCCCGTTTGGCCTGTATCAGTTTAAGGTCATGCCATTCGGGATTAAAAACGCTCCAGCTACCTTTCAGAGAATGGTGGACAGATTATTAGATGGGTTCCAGGAGTATGCCTGCGCGTATCTAGATGATATCGCCATATTCAGCCACTCCTGGCACGAACATCTGGTTCACATAGGAGCCATTCTAGACCGAATGCGAGAGGCCGGATTGACCCTAAAACCCAGCAAATGCCATATCGGTATGGCGGAAGTCCAGTACCTAGGGCACCGGGTAGGGAGTGGGCAACAGAAACCCGAACCTGCTAAAATAGAGGCAGTCGCCCAATGGCCTACCCCTCGCACCAAGACCCAAGTGCTCGCCTTTTTAGGGACCGCCGGGTACTACCGGAAATTTGTGTACAACTATAGCGCCCTTGCCAAACCCCTCACAGACCTGACCCGCAAGAATCTCCCTAAGTTGGTAGTCTGGGCCCCAGAGTGTGAGCAGGCGTTTCAACAGCTCAAGACGGCACTTGTTAACTCTCCTGTACTTTCTGCTCCTGATCCAACTAAACGCTTTCTCGTCCATACAGACGCTTCTATGTTTGGATTGGGAGCAGTACTGAGCCAAGTTGGACCAGATGGCGGCGAGCACCCCGTAGCTTATCTAAGCCGAAAACTTTTACCCAGTGAAGTAAGCTACGCCGCCATTGAAAAGGAGTGCCTGGCTGTGGTGTGGGCCCTCAAAAAGTTGCAACCCTACTTATACGGACAACCCTTCACTTTACTCACGGATCACTACCCGTCGGTGTGGCTGTACAGGGTGTCCGGAGACAATGCCAGGCTGCTGCGCTGGAGTTTGGCGCTGCAGCCTTTTGACTTTACTATCCACTACCGCCCTGGGAAGCAAAATGGCAACGCCGACGGGTTGTCTAGACAAACAGACTTGGAGCCGTGATTCGTGAGTACTCCTCCGGACATCCCCAAGCCGATCTGTTGGGATCAGACTGTGTATGCCGGCTTGGTTCTGGGGGAGCATTGTGGCAAACCTAGCCACTTGGACATTATTGTGTACTGTCGCTTTAAGGGTTGCCGGTATGGGGTTCCTTTGGTGTGTTAGAGCGTGTACTGTAATGCAATGTTAATGCTGTATTTCCTGCCTGGGCTATCTGCCGACCGCAGATAGCTAATTCCTTTCGTTTCACGAACGACACCTTTGCAGGCCGTTCGGGAATCGAACAACATATAATTTTATATCCCACACACTTAGAGGCGTGTGGCACCTATTAACCGATTGCAACAATGTTGCAATTGGTAATTAGAGGCTCTCCTGGGTGGCCGTCGTTCGACTACCGACCATGCGGCGGTCGGCCATCTTGGATCCTTTGTTCCCTCAGCGGTGTTAGGTCGTCGAGCGCATGGTACTAAAAACGGCTACTCGACAGGCACGAACACCGCTGAGCCTCCAGGACGTTCGGGAGTTTCAGGCCGTTCGGTATTTTATTCCCTGGAAGGCAATCGGTTCTTTTAATATGTTTTGTAATGAATGTGTTTTTCGTGCGGCGTTCGGTTATTTTAGCTGGGATCTGAGCGGTAATCTCACGAATGATGCGCCCAGACCCCAGCTATCTACCGAACGTCCATTCGTTTAAATAGACTGCATATTCATAAAGTTATGTATTTTTATACGAATTGTAAGCTCTGCTGCACGGAGGGATAATCCACTTAACAGCATATTCCAGTGGGAGGATCCCTCTCTTGCAGCAGTGCCTGATGGGAAAAATGTCTTGTTTTGTAAGTTCCCCATGTAGTCCCCTCTGGGAATGTCCCTGGGAGGGGACTCAGGAAACCCCTTGCATGGGGACTTGTATAAATTGTGGAGCTGAATTAAAAGACCTCAGTTGACTCCCAGCCTATGTGTCGTCTAGTTCTTGGGAAGGAAGGGTTACTACAGTGCTGTCTGGATTATTGTATGCTGATTCCCTGGATTATCCTTTGTTGTTCCTGTTACCCAGCAGACATATCGTGGATTATACTGCCTCTCCGCTACAGCAAAAGTCTTGAATTCCCAAAGTCCCGAATTCCTGAAGTCCCGAATTGCCGAAGTCCCGAATTTCAGAAGTGCCGAACCAAATTTTTTGTCCCATGCACATCCCTAATCTTATCACTTGTTTATACTAAACCGTAAGGGTGCACACGGTTGGGAAATTTCCTGACTTGTGACAAAATGGCTTTCTAAAGTCTGATGACGTAGCATAGCCTTGAAGATGTTATTGTATTACTCGTTTTTGTTAAGACAAATTGGCGTAAACATATTATGTACTGAAAGTAGTTTAGAGGAACATGTATGAAAAACAATATGTAGCATTTCTGACACCTTGACAGTTTGCAATATCTCATAAAGACAAAGTACACAATTTAAGAAATACAACATTTCATTCTAAAACTTGTAATATTTGCCCATAACAATCAGTACAGGAATACCTGGCAATTGTCAATCATCCATACATCCATTCATTCCAACCCACATTCTGCTTTCATTCTTCATGTATATATATATATTTATATATATATATATATTTTTTTTCATTCAAAATGGAACCTGCTGCTTTTAGTATTAATTACAATGATCTAAATTTGAGCCCCTGTGTAAAATTGGATGAAACTGGATTTATGCTTTTAATCCCTTAACGCAATCAGGGTGTACTATGCCATTGTATTAAGAGAGCCTAAATGCTGTTCGGGTGGCATAGTATGCCCTAATGTTCGTGAGCTCCCCAGCCAGTATTTACTTACCTGGACAGGCGATTAGCAGTCCCCTGATTCCTTTCCGGCCCTCCCAGGCTAGGTGATTGCGATGGACGTCTCGATCACATGGCTGCAATAGCAGTCTATGGGACTGCCTGCTGGGGAACTGCCTGAGTGTGTAAAACACTACAACTTGTAATGATGATGATATCATCAGTGAAAGTGCAAAAAAATAAGTATGAAAACTAATTTGGGCTAGGGTTTATGACTAAGTGGCTATGAAAAAAGACTGTACATATGCCATTTTCACTGGGTGTCTACTTTTTCAAATGGTATGCCATCATGGGGATAATTCTTATTTCTAGGCTGCCATACGGTCTCAAAGGCAACATAACCAATCTGGCAAATTTTAACAGAAATGGGCAACTCTTATATTTGACCCCATAACTTTCCAAAACACCATAAAACCTGTAAATGAGACAATACTAGGCACAAATATGAGTGTTTTAGAGCAGGGAAAGATGTAATGCTGATGATCTCATCAGTAAAAGGGAAATTTATTTGTGAAAAATGCAAAAAAACTAATATGAACACTAATTTTGGCCAGTGTTTGTGACTAAGTGGCTAATAAAAAAAACTAGACATAACCCATTTTGAATACCCTGAGTTGTCTACCTTTCTAAATGGTATGCCATGGTGGAGGTAATTTTCATTCCTGGGCTGCTACACGGTCTCTAAGGCAACAAATTATCATGTGTGTAAACTGAAAAAAGATAAATTGACTATATTTGGCTGTGAGACTTTTCAAAACCCTATAAAACCTGGACATGGGGAAGTACTGTTGTAATTGTGAGACACAGCTGAACACAAATATTTGTATTTTATTGTAATAAAAGCTAATAGTATTATGACATTAACAGTTAACATTCCATGCTAAACTTGAAGTTTTTAAAAACAAATTCATATTATATTATGTTTCACTTATAAATATTTGATGTGAAATGAAAGCCCTATTTCTCCTTAACAAAATTATATATAATAAGTGTGGGTGCACTTAATGTGAAAGAGGTAAATTATGGTTGAACAGACATAGAGCGCAAATTCCAGGTTTTGTTTACGTTTTGTTTTGATCAGAACGTGGACAATTGACTTTGTCCTTAGGAGGTTAATATTGATATGAATTAGTAAATATTATCATTTATTTCTGTTGATCAACGCTGTATAAAGTGACATCAGATGTGATATCTTATTAAACATAGCAAACAGTTCTTGTGCAAATATATCTGAGATTTATTGTGTGACAAACACAGTTATGACAAATACATTGCTTCAATTCTAATGCCTCTATCGTATATAACATTGGCCAGAATCAATTCAAAGAACACATAATATATATTTATTATTTGGAAGTTCAATTTTTTTTTTGTTAATAGAAATCAACGAATGTTGTTTTCTGAATTTGTCTGCTTGATGACATCACTGCGCCCCTTACTTATCTGAACCTGTGAAATGGAATTAAGCCTGTCAGAGTGCTGTACATCATAATAGCAATAAAACATAAACACAAAAATAAAACCAAAAATTTGTTTGTAGAAAAAACGTTTAGCAGTTGAGTCAAGAAAACAAAACCATAATCTGCCAGAGATATTGTAACACAGAGACAGGTTCCTTGTTATAACTCGCTGTTTAGTTTCCAAGATGTTAAATAAACAAAATTAACATGTCTTTAAAAGAAGTTAACAAAAATAATTCAGGTAATAATATACTGTACCTGAGCTACAGGGAGCTGTATATTCTGCTTCAGAATGGTCACCTGAAATAGACAGAGGCAGAACAGTGTATAAATTCACGTATGATGAATCTTTATGTATACAATAATTAAAGGAACACTATAGTGCTAGGAATACAAATGTGGTGTGGCTGTTTAGGTGACCGATCGCCATGAATAGATGAATTTCCTCATCTTTTCTACCATGTCGCGTTGGTCTCACCATGGCTAGCTTCAACTCCATGACTGAAATCACCAAAGTTGATGATCTCTGCCAATCCAGCGCTTTCCCATTTCCAGAAGAATTGGGAGGTTATTGCACATGTGCGGAAAAATACAATGCTGTGGCAATCAGTATCTTCTCATAGAGATGCATTTAATCTCTGTGCATAGCACAGTACTGACACAGGAAGCACGTCTAGTGGCTGCCTTAGTGACTGCAACTAGAGGAGTTACTAGGCACCAATTGGACACGTTAACCTTCTCTGAAAAGGCAGCATTTACATTGAAAAGCCTGCATGGACAGGCTATAGACTCCAGAACTACTAAAAGCTGCAGTTGTTCCTGTGACTATAGTGTCCTTCTAATATTGCCTAATGTTTTTTTTCACTTAACTGGTCATTGTCAAAGGGTTTGTTAAACAATATCAAAATAGTGGGATTGTGATTGAGTCATCACCGTTTACAGCTTATTGGCAGTTATTAGCATGATGTCAAATATTGACAAAGATTGTGATTTCCATGTAAATTATCCGACCGTCCATCATCCATCTGTCCATCCATGTGTGCACCCATCCATCCATCTTTTTGACTACCATTATTATACTTCTTTACATGTAGTTGCACATGATGGGGCTTTGTCATTCATGTACACAAGATTCATGAGACAATCTGCTGTATTCAGTGTTTACAATATAGGGACATTTGGGCATAAAATATATTGTTCAACAGCAAACAGGTGCTTGTAGACAAAGATATAACTATTTGAAGTTGAACTGATATGTGTTAGTTTGTACATCTGTCTACACAGCTCACTGGAAGTAATTTAAATCTGTGTTAATAAGTGTCAATGTCCTTTTTATTTGTACACACCTGGATCATAATAGTCGTAAACTCGTACATTTGCAGGCTGCAGATTTTTCACAAGCGTTTCTTGTTTGACGAAGAAAGAAAACTCTTCTGTTTGGTGTTTGAGCTGTAGGAATGCAATTGTTAGAATATAACAGAAAGTAGAAGGGATATACATGTCACTTTCACAAGCTGTGAGCCTAAATGACAGGTTTCAGTGTTTAAAGAAACACTCCAGGCACAAATAGCACTTCAGCACGATATGCTTTGATGCCTCGAGTCTGTCATAGTTGTGACAGGTTATAATAGTGCCAATTTCAACAGATATCAGCACTTTTATAAAACTTAGCACAAATCCTTTCCCAGTTGTCAACCAGGCAGGAAAGTTTACATCTGCTTTCAATAACTCAACAGAGCTAACAAGAGTGGCAGGCATGCTGGAATAGAGCTCAATGAGAAGCATAGAAATGCTGCAATCACATGCGTCCAGCATGGAAGCTTCTTAATGAGAAGTCTCTGATTTGTGTATTCCCTGCCACAAGCTGCAAATCTGTGAATGGGAAAGAGGGGAAGGCTTGTAAAAGATGCAGATAGCATTAGAGGCATGCATCTTCCTCTCCCACGCGCTCCCCTCCATTTGTATAATATAACACACAGATACAGACACACATAATGACACACATTCAGATGCACAGAATGACACTTCTACAGATACAAACACAGACACATGCGGATACACAGACACAATACAGACAGATACACATATAGACAAGCATACAGATACAAACAGTTACACAAATACAGATATATAGGGACACACTGACACACATGCAGACAAACAGATAAACATACAGGCATACATGCAGAAAAACAGAAACACATACTGACATACAGATACACATACAGACAAACAGATACACATACAGACACATATGCAGGCAAATAGATACATATACAAACAAACAGATAAACATACAGACACACAGAACACACAGACACAAATGTGGATATACAGACCCACATACAGACATATACACATATAGACATGCATGCAGATACACAGACACACTTAATGACAAACATTCAGATACACAGAATGACACGCATACAGATATAAACTGTGACACACATACAGATACATAGGGGCACACACTGGCACACATGCAGACAAACATATACACAGACAAAGATATACATACACATACATGCGGACAAAGAGATACACCTGCAGAAATTAGATTTGCAGACAAACAGATACACATACAGACACACATGCATGCACACACACACACATAGATACACACACATACAGACACACAGATATACAAATAGAGACATTCACACACACATACAGACACACACACATATACAGACATTCTCACATACACACACACACACACACATACAGACACATGCAGACACACATACAAAGTCTTAAAAATTTTAGTCACCTACTGTTACCCATACATATTACACATACTTCCGGACAAAGACATACACATGCAGAAATTAGATTTGCAGACAAACAGATACACATACAGACACACATGCATGCACACACACACACACACATACAAACACACAGATATACAAATAGACATTCACACACACATACAGACACACACACATATACAGATACAGACATTCTCACATACACACACACACACACACACATACAGACACATGCAGACACACATACAAAGTCTTAAAAATTTTAGTCACCTACTCTTTCCAACCCTTACATCTAGGATGCAGACTTCCCTGGGGTCCAGTGGCAGTGTACGGCTGATGGGAGCTCCCTCCTCCTCTTCCCCGGCACTCTCCTCCTGCATGGCTCTGTTAGCTGGGAGGAAGTGACGGCTTCCTCCCAGCTCTGTCATCATCACAGGGGCCAGTGGTGCTCCTAAGGCGCCGCAGCACAGACCAGGCCCCAGAAAATTCATTGCCATTGGGTGGCCCCAAGAGCCACCCAATGGGCCCCTTCAATGCGGCCCCAGCGGCTGTTCTGTGTGGCCGGGGCCGCACCACAATGCAGATGGGCACCCCGGTAGCAGAGGTCAACAGGAGGGCTGGGCCCCTTGGAGTTATGAGCCCGGTCGCAGCTGTGACCCTTGGTACTGCGGTAGTTCTGCCACTGGCTAGCATGATCAGAGGGGTCCTTCATAATATGTGAGCCTGGAAGCTCCCTTGCAGGAGGTAGTGCTGGAGGAGGTGATGTCATAGATACCTGAGGAGGAAAGAGGTTGGCGATCTGTTTTTGTGGGTGTCTGGCAGTGTGTATGTGTGTTTGTGTGAATGTCTGGCTGTGTGTGTGTGTGTCTGCCTGTATGCCAGTTTCACAGTATATGTGTATATATTATGTATAAGTGTGTATGTCTGGCTTTGTGTCTGTTTGACAGTGTGTATGTATCTAAAAATGTGTGTGAGTTTGTATATCTGGTTGTTTGTCTGTTTGAAGTGTGTGTTAGAAAATTTGCATGGGTCTCTGGCTATGTGTGTTTGGCTTACAGTGTATGATAGTGTGTTTGGCTGTGTGTACATGTCCAACTATGTGTCTGTTTACACTATGTGTGCACATCTGTGTGTGTGGCATGTGTGTCTGACAGTGGGAATCTGTGCGTGTGTGTTTCTAACACGTGTGCATGGCATTATGTATTTGTGTTTGGCAATGTGTATGTGTATATTCTAATAAGGTGTGTGCATATGATAGTTTATGTGTATATATGTATGCACATCTGTGAAAATTAGTTTGTAAGTTTGTATCTAGGAGAGGGGCCCTGGGCAATATTTTTAAGGGACCCTAAGATTTGTATGTCAGCGCTGATCATAGGTGTCAATGTGTAACACACTGACAATAACTTTAAGAGGTGGCCATTGTAGATGCACTACTGGGCATTACTCTTTTTTTATTATTGATTTGAAAATACATCAACAACATTATCACAAAAACAATTGGGAATTATTTCAATAATTATATTTTAAAATATTCTTATTATTCCTTATCCCCAATGACAAAGGACACAAAGGACATATATACACATACATCACAATATGAATTAGTAAAAACTATGAACTTGATCAGTTCAAGCTTAAAATCCTTCCATACCTAAAATCAAAGTTCAAATGCTTATTGATATTTAATCAGTTAATACCAATTTATTCAGCCATTTATCATACAATTCTTGTTTATTTAAAGAGTACAAGGAAGAGCTGTGTAGATCTCTTTCCATGCGGATTTGATATGTAAATTGATCTATGTGTTTCTTTTGAAATGGGAGGTTTAACCCCTTAAGGACCGAGGACGGTTCAGGACCGTCATCGGCATTTTTGCGTTGCCGACCGATAACGGTCCTGAACCGTCCTAACGGTCAGAGCTACTTACCTGATCGCCGTCGTTCCCCCGGCGGCGATCAGCATGGCTCCGGTTGTGGGGAGACTGCCTGCAGCCCAGACAGTCTCCCCACGGCAGATTAGGACCCCTGTGGCCATGTGATCGCTTAACACAGCGATCACATGGTCACAATAGGTGTCCATGTGTCTGCCTGCAGGGGGACTGCCTGTGCTGACAGGCAGTCTCCCTGCAGTGTAAAATCAAAAAAAAAAATAAAGTTAATGTTAATAAAAAATAAATAAATAATTATATATGTGTATATATGATATATAGACATATATTATATCTATATAATATATGTCTATATATCATATATATATAATGTCATACTAAGTGTATTTTTATATTAATATGTACTTATATTAATATAAAATACACTTATAATTAAATTACACACGTATATATATAATATATATAATAACTATATATATTGTATATATATATTATTATAAAATATAAATAATAAGTAATTTAAATTAAATAATTTTTTTTAAATAATAATAAAAAATTTAAAAAATTATATAGCTATATGAAATTTTATTCTAACTGTATTTTAAAATTAATATATATATATTTATATCAAAATACACTTAGAATGAATTTGTATATATATCTATGTATATAAAAATAAATAAAAATAATAAGAAATATACATACGTCCATATACAAAATTACATAAATAATTATATAAATATACACGTAGACTTCAAATATATAAATATGCATATATATTTAAATTCTACGTGCGTATTTATGTAATATTTTTACATAATTCAGTAATTTTATTGATTGCAATTTGAGGGACCTGCCTGCCAACCCAGGCCGAAATTCCAGAGAATTTAATTTGCTAGCATTGTATTTTACCCTGTAACGTTCTACGACACCCTAAAACCTGTACATGGGGGGTACTGTTTTACTCGGGAGACTTCGCTGAACACAAATATTAGTGATTCAAAACAGTAAAACATATCACAGCGATGATATTGTCAGTGAAAGTTACTTTTTTTGCATTTTTCACACACAAACAGCACTTTTACTGATGATATAATTGTTGTGATACGTTTTCCAGTTTTTAAACACTACTATTTGTGTTCAGCGATGTCTCCCGAGTAAAACAGTACCCCCCATGTACAGGTTTTATAGCATTTTTGAAAGTTACAAGGTCAAATATATGGGTCAAATATTTTTACATTGAAAATGGCCAGGTTGGTTACGTTGCCTTTGAGAGCGTATGGTAGCCCAGGAATGAGAATTACCCCCATGATGGCATACCATTTGCAAAAGAAGACAACCCAAGGTATTGCAAATGGGGTATGTCCAGTCTTTTTTAGTAACCACTTGGTCACAAACACTGGCCAAAATTAGCGTTCAATTTAGTTTTTTTACTTTTTTCACACACAAACAAATATGAATGCTTACTTTGGCCAGTGTTTTCGACTAAGTGGCTACTAAAAAAGACTGGACATACCCCATATTGAATACCCTGGGTTGTCTACTTTAAAAAAAATATGTACATGTGGGGTGTTATTCAGAGATTTATGACAGATAATAGTGTTACAATGTCACTATTGATAAATTTTAAAAATGTATGTTTTGAAACCGCAATATCCTACTTGTACCTATAGCCCTATAACATGCAAAAAAAAGCAAAAAAGCACGTAAACACTGGGTATTTTTAAACTCAGGACAAAATTTTGAATCTATTTAGCAGTTTTTTTCATTCGCTTTTGTAGATGAGTAAAAGATTTTTCAAGTAAAAGTCAAAAAACATGTATTTTTTTCAATTTTTCATCATATTTTTTAATTTTTTTTAAATTAAAATACATGAGATTATATAAATAATGGTATGTAAAGAAAGCCCCTTTTGTCCTGAAAAAAACAATATATAATTTGTATGGGAACAGTAAATGAGAAAGCGGAAAATTACAGCCAAACACAAACACCACAAAAGTGTAAAAATATGCCTGGTCGCAAATGTACAACATCGCAAAAACAGTCCAGTCCTTAACCCCTTCAGGACGGGTGACGGACGAGGTCCGTCACACAGGGGAGACCCTTAACGACGGGTGACGGACCTCGTCCGTCACGCGGTAAAATTAACCCCGGATCGCCGCTATCGCGGCGATCGCGGGGTTAATGGTGCTCCCGGTATGCCTCTGCATTAGAGGCATACCGGGAGCACCCGGTCAAGCTGCCCAGCACATGTGCTCGCTCTGACCACAAGTCTGAGCGAGCACATGTGCTCTGTATACTCACCTACCGGCTCCCTGCACTTCCGGGTTCTGTGTGAAGTGCAGGGAGCCGGATCAGTGCTGATCCTGCCCCCTGCTGGAAAAAAAAATAAAGTTTATTTAAAGTCCCCCCCCCCTTACCCATTTTAATAAAAAATTAACCCCTTCCCTGCCAATTGATCACTGACTACAGTGATCAATTGGCAGGGATTACATTTTACTATGATCTGATTTTTTTTTTTAACCCCTGAGGGTTAATTTTTTTTTTTTTAACCCTCAGGGGTTAAATTAATTAAATTAATTAATTAAATTATTTTTAAATTATATATTTAGATAGCTGGGGTAGGTGGAAGTTAGTGGGGAATTGGGGGATTTGACGTTAGGCTAACTAGGGGTTAACGTTAAAAAAAAGTTTTAAAAGAAACTTTAAAAAGTTAAAAATTAAGCTTAAAAAATGTTTTAATAACATTTAAGTAATAAAAACAAAAAAACACACTTTACCTAGTCCAAATAAAAATTAACCCCTTCCCTGCCAGTCGATCACTGCCTACAGCGATCAAATAGAGATCACAGTATTATACTGTGATCTAATTTTTTTTAACCCCTGAGGATTAACTTTTATTTATTTTTTTTAACCCTCAGGGGTTCAATTTATTTAATTAATTAATTTAAATATTTTATAACTATATATTTTGCTAGCTGGGGTGGGTGGGAGTTATGGGAAAATGGGGAATTTACTGTTAGTGCTGCGTACTGCTAGTTAGGGGTTAACAGTAAAAAAAATAGCTTAGAAAAATGTTAAATCTGTAAAAAAGTTTTAAGAAAGTTTAGGAAAGTTTAAAAAAAATTTATAAGCAAAACAAAAGTTTAAAAACTAGTTTTTAAAAGTAAAAAAGTTATAAAAAGTAAAAAAATACATTTTAAAAACGCTCATTACCACTACACCTGGAACAAACTAGAGAAAAAATTATCCCACGCCAAGGTTCAAAATATGCCTTTTGAATTACCCCAGGGTGTATTCTTTAATAAATAGTATGTGTTTGTGGGGAAGTCTCAATAACCAACCGTCTAAACTATTCCAAATTGGAACATGGACACAGCGTAAAACTTCAAAGTTAGAAAAAAACTGAATGGCTGCGTCTCAAATGCGCCCCTTCAACATCCACATATACCTGGCAAAGGTACATACGGGGGTATTGCTGTACTCAGCCGACATAGCTGAGCAACATATGAAGTATTATACAGTCATAGTACACATAAGGTTTGCAAAATATGCTGCGCAAACTCACTTTGTATGTCAAAAAGGCAGAAAAAATGCTTATTACCACTACACTTGGTACAAGCTAGCGGAAAAATGATCCCACACTAAGGTTCAAAATATGCCTTTTGAAATACCCTGGGATGTCTTCTTTAAGAAATGGTATGGCTTTATGGGGAATTTGGATTATATAGCCTGGTAAAATACTCTAAAATGGGACATAGGCACAGCATAAAAATTCAAAGTTTGAAAAAAACTGGAATGGCTGTGTCCCAAATGTGCCCCTCCGATGTCCACACATACCTGGCAAAGGTACATACGGGGGTATTGCTGTACTCAGCCGACATAGCTGAGCAACATATGAAGTATTATACAGTCGTAGCACACATAAGGTTTGCAAAATATACTGTGCAAACTCACTTTGTATGTCAAAAAGGCAGAAAAAATGCTTATTACCACTACACTTGGTACAAGCTAGCGGAAAAATGATCCCACGCTGAGGTTCAAAATATGCCTTTTTGAAATACCCTGGGATGTCTTCTTTAAGAAATGGTATGGCTTTATGGGGAATTTGGATTATATAGCCTGGTAAAATACTCTAAAATGGGACATAGGCACAGCATAAAAATTCAAAGTTTGAAAAAAAACTGGAATGGCTGTGTCCCAAATGTGCCCCTCCGATGTCCACACATACCTGGCAAAGGTACATACGGGGGTATTGCTGTACTCAGCCGACATAGCTGAGCAACATATGAAGTATTATACAGTCGTAGCACACATAAGGTTTGCAAAATATACTGTGCAAACTCACTTTGTATGTCAAAAAGGCAGAAAAAACGCTTATTACCACTACATCTGGTACAAGCTAGCGGAAAAATGATCCCACGCTAAGGTTCAAACTATACCTTTTGAAACACCCTGGGGTGTCTACTTTAAGAAATGGTAGGCCTTTGTGGGGTAGTTTGAATTTAAAACCTGCGAAGATGCTTGGAAATTGCACATAGGCCCAGCGTCAAAATTCAAAGTTTGGTAAAAACGGATATGGCTTGGTCTCCTATATGGCACTGTAGCTTCACAAAATAGTGACAAAGACATTCATTGGGGGTGTATTTTTACTCAAAAGACTTAGCTGAGCATAATTTGGGAGGTTTGAACTTAGTGGCACATATGAAATATACAAAACGCCCAGCAAAAATGCAATCCGTATGTAAAAAATGCACAAAATAATTTTTTTACCACATACTTTGGCATATATTGGTGAAAAAATGGGGGTATGTTAAGGCACAATATGCACCTTATAAGATACCCTGGAGTGTCTACTTTTACAAATGGTAGGCCTTTGTGGGGGTTTTTTGAACAGTCAAACTGTTATAATACCCCAAATGGAAGCTAAGGCTCATTAAATCCATCTCTCAAAATTCTACTGTGAATACTGTAAAGGACAGGTCTCCTATATGGCACTGTAGCTTCACGAAATAGTGCCAAAGACATTCATATGGGGTGTCATTTTACTCAGAAGACTTAGCTGAGCATAATTTGGGGGGTTTGAACTTAGTGGCACATATGAAATATACAAAACGCCCAGCAAAAATGCAATCCGTATGTAAAAAATGCACAAAATTATTTTTTACCACATACTTTGGCATATATTGGTGAAAAAATGGGGGCATGTTAAGGCACAATATGCACCTTATAAGATACCCTGGAGTGTCTACTTTTACAAATGGTAGGCCTTTGTGGGGGTTTTTTGAACAGTCAAACTGTTATAATACCCCAAATGGAAGCTAAGGCTCATTAAATCCATCTCTCAAAATTCTACTGTGAATACTGAAAAGGACAGGTATCCTGTATGGCACTGTAACTTCACGAAATAGTGCAAAAGACATACAATGGGGGTGTCATTTTACTCAGCAGATGTAACTGAACACAAAATAAAACTTTGTACAGGAATAGCACACACCAACTTTACAAAATATACACGAGAATTTCTCTGTTATAAGTTTGTGTGCCAAAAACCAAAAAGAACACAATTTTACTCCAATATTTAGCAGAGGTTGGCGGTGAAATGGCTACGTAGAAAGTGTCAAAACAACCTTAGGTAAATAGCCCGTGATGTCTACTTTATATAAATATATACTTTTGTGTGGCAATTTTGTTTTCTTTTATGGCTATTAAGCTTACAAGACAAACATACCAAATTCTAAAATCGCTCCACATTAAAATTTTATTTTACTCCTTGTGCTTTGTGACCTGTAACTACCAAAAAAAACTTAAAATCCCAGACACATTATATATTCTGTAAATCAGAACAAATAAATAAATTTATTTTTAATTACTTTCCTTAACCTGCACTAATTATGCACACATTATTATTGCAAAAACTGTAAAAAAAAACAATATTTTTCATTTTTTTTGCATTTTTCTGTATTTTTTTTATAATAAGTAAGCATTTATATATATATATGTTATATCAAATTAAAGCCCTTTCTGTCCTTTAAAAAACAGTATATAATATGTGTCGGTGCAATAAATGAGAGAGATGCAAATTGCAGTTGAACGCAAACAGCAAGAAAATGCAAAAATTGCTTGTGTCATTAAGCGTAAGTCAAGCTTCTGAAGCTGTGTCCTTAAGGGGTTAAGGGGTTAATTTCCATTGTCTGGCTATAATGATTTTAGTAGCTAAGAAACAATGAATAGCACAACATTTTAATGATAGTGAGTGTAGAGCCCATTTCAGATGTAATAGGGCCACAACAGGTTTGTCTTTTTAGGTTTAAATCTGATAAAAAAATTAATAATTCAAAAGCCCATAACCATAATGTAGTTACCAATCTACAATACCACCATATGTGTAAGAAAAAGATCCATCCAGACATCCGCATTGCCAACAGGGAGGATTTTGATTTGGGTACATCTTAGAAATCTTATATTTGTCGTCAGATACCATTTGTAGATTATCTTGGATTGACATTCTATTAGATTCAGACAATGAATGTGTTTTCGTATGTCTTTAAGAGTACAACACCATTCGGTTTCACTTATTTCCCCTTCTAAATCTTTTCTCCAATTTATCAACAATGTTTAGTGGTTTTTGATCTGCTAACAATATTAAGTTAATTGCTTTAGAAGTTATTTTTTTTTTTAACTTTAGAGTGGTTGAAAATTGTTTGAAATAAGTTTACCACTTTAGATGTATTTCTTAGTAGATCTTTATTTAAAAAAAAATGTAATTCGCAGATATGAACAAATTTAATTGTTTGGTAAGTGTAGTTTAGCCTTGATTTCAGCAAAGGGAAGTAATTGGTCTAATTGTAGAATATCATTCATCTCAATAAGTATTTAGACCAGTTTATCAAAGATATATCTTGCATATTATCTTCCAAAACAGCCAGATGACAAGATTTAACAACTTCATGGGGAAGTTTCAATCTTTTTTTCAGTATATCCCAAGCTTGAATAGTTTGTGCTAATATTAGGGATTTAGTGTTTAAATAATATGTAGATTTCTTGCCACTGTTAAGCCATAGGAATCATTCAAGTCTATCATTTCCGACAGCGTCGGATTCTATTATATACCACATTTTTTCTTTGTAAATATCAACTTGTAACTTATAAACATGACCTATAAAATTAGAAAAATAACAGTTTCTTATATTGGGATAGTTCAAACCCCCTTGTTGGTATTTCCTCGCAAGAAATTTGGCGCCTATTCTCATTTTTTTACTTTTTCATATAAATGTTTAAAAACTGCATTGAATCATAGTTAACCAAATGTCAGGAATATGGAGGGGTAACATTCTAAACAAATATTACCATGTTGGTATTATATTAGCATTAATTGTGTTGATCCTGCCCAACCAAGATTCTATTGAGTGCCATTCTTTTAGCTTTATGTTAGTTTATTTTAAGAACATTTATTTCTATGGAGTTTTGAATCTTATTTGGAATTATGACTCCCAAATGATTAAAGTCATTCTTTGACCATTTAAAGTTGTATTTATCCTTGAGGTCCTTAATAAAATTATTTTTGATCTTATTAGTTAAAACTATTGATTTAGCTACGTTTAACTTATAATTTGATACTTCACTGTACTTATTTATTTCTTGTATTACATATGATAAAGATGACTCTGGAGATGTAAGCGACAATAGAATATCGTCAGCATATAATGATATCTTAGCGTTTGCTTTATTAGTTGGAAAACCTTTGATCATTTCTTTGTTCTGATATTAATCGCTAATGGTTCTAAAGTTAAAATATAGCAAAGGGGCGATAAAGGGCAACCCTGCCTCATGACATTTTTAAACCAGCTGGCTATAATATTTACCCCAACTGTTCTTGCTGTTGGATCAGAGTAAAGGGCCATAATAGCTCCATGGATCCACCCCACAAACCCAAAAGAAACCAATACTGCGTCTAAGAACCTCCAGCTGACCCTGTCAAATGCTTTTTCTGCATCTAGTGACAGGGTCAGCAGAGGAATATCCCTTCATTCAGCTCTATCTATTATGTCCAAAATTCTTCTTGTACAGCTATCCGAAGATCTTCTAGGAATAAAACCAACTTGGTCCGGATGAATACGTTTTTCAATAACTAACTTTAATCTAGATGTTAAAATTGAAGCATATATTTTCATATCTATATTTATTAATTAAATTGTTCTGTATTTACTAACATCACTTTAATTTTTATTAGGTTTTAATATTGACAAGGTGTTGGCTTGTACTAGATCTTTTGGAGTTTTAACTAAATTGGCAATTTCATTGTAAAGATCAGTTAGAGGACACGCTATTTCTTTTTTCATAATTTTATAGAATTAGTTACTGTAACCATCGGGACCAGGAGTCTTGAAAAATTCCAATCTATCGATCTCTCTTTCTACTTCTTGGATGGAAACTCAACATTTAGAATATTGAGATCAGAGGTAGAAATTTTTGGGATAGTAGTTTGGGATAGATAGTTATTAATTTTTATATTGTCTGAAACTATTCATAGGTTATATAAATTGCTGTAAAATGTATTAAATATCTGACCAATTTTATCTGGAGAGGAGTAAATAGTTTGACCGTCAGATTGTTTATTTACTCTATTTTTCGCATTATGTTTCTTTAATTGTTTAGTTAGATTTTTATTGCCCCTATTCCCCTGGTAATAAGAATTGAATCTTAGTTTATTAATAGTTCTTTTTATCTTTTCCTTTGTTTTTATATTCATTTTATTTTCATAAGTTGTCTAGATAGTTGATTTTTGTTCATTTTGGACATATTAAGATATTCGATGTATAGATCGGCAAGATCTTTATCTCTTATTTTTTTGGATTGTTTTTCAATTTTAATAAGGTAACTCCTCATTACTACTTTATAAGAAGCCCATAGTGTTGAATGTAGAATATCGGGAGTTGAATTTTCTTACCAAAAAATCCTGGATAGCTCCATTAGTTTCTCTTGGTTTTCCTTAAGTTTAAAAGTGGAGTCATTCAATCTCCAAGTTTTTCTACCTTTAGGCACCGGTTTCCCTAAATCTATTATTACAGAACTATGGTCAGACCAGGTATTATCATTAATTTGAATTTTATTAATGCTATTTAGTGTATTGGCTTTAACGAAACATAGGTCAATTCTTGAATAAGAGTTATGGACTTTAGATAAATGGGAAAAATCCCAAATATCAGGATTCATAATCCGCCAAGCATCATATAAACCATGTGCATTACATATATTAGTTAAAATTCTAGATTGTTTGTTTAGTAAATTTTCAGACTTCAACTGAACTTGAGAGCTTTTATCCATTTTGAAGTCAAAAATAGCAGTAGAAGTCACCAGCAATTCATATTTATGACTTTCCCTCTATTGGCTTTTAGTACTTTTTCTTTAAATTCATAAGATTGAAAACAAACTATTATATCTCTAGGTGCCTCAAAGGCTACATTTGAAGGTTTATTTAACCTATGGCACCTGTCAATTTTTTCGTCATATCCATTAAAAGTGAGACCCAGTGCTATGAAATAGTCATGTAATATTTGGTGCAGGTCTTCTTGCTTGCCTGTATCTTTAAAATTACGAAATCTTAATTTTTTTTTCAGCGGGAGCAGTCTTCAAGATCTTCAATTTTGTTTTCCAGGTAATTAATTTCCGTGTCATTTGTATTACATCTTCATTTAATGTTTTTATCTGGAAATCCATGTTTCTTATTTGATCTTCTATAATGTGGAATTTATTAGTCAATTTTGCAATATCACTTTTGATTTCTTGTTTAATTTCTGTTGAATTTGATAAAATTTCTCTTTTAATTTCTTCCAACATAGCTTTTAAGCTTGAATTCAAGAATGTAATTGTTACTTCTTCGTTTCCTTTGGTCATTTCCATTGTGGAGAGATCTAACTTAGACAAGGATTCTCTAGATGAATGATTTATTGACTCTTTGGAGTGAGAAGAGAAATAAGTAGAGATATTTTTTATCTTGTTTGCTGTCTCTCTTATCTTTTTTTATGTTAGTTTTAATTCGTGAGATGCTTTTTTGGTAGCCATAATTAATTGCCAACTTTAGGCTTGTGCTTAGTACAAAATTATCAAGTGCTCATTTTTTTTCTATCCCTTTTTGTTTGTGTGTGCTAGTTAATCAAAAGTAGTAAACTCCTGTGTGTTAGTATAATATTTAGCTACAGAGGGTACTTAATGAATATATACAACAACATGTATATAGAAAGCAAAAAGAGTCTTATTTATCTTCTGTACTGCATATTGAGTTGAGACTTGCATTCGTTTTTTTTACCAAGCCACTGGATCTATCTGGAATTCCCCCCAACAGACATCGTGGTTCAAACTTAAGAATTCCAGCTGTGTATTATATATAGCAAAGGGATGGTTTGCATCCATGAGTCCACTGTGCTGTTTTAGATTAGGCACTGCACCAACTGCTCACGGCATCAGAGGAATCTGTTGAGGATTCTAGGGTACTTAATGAATATATACAACAACAAATATATAGAAGGCAAAGGGAAAGGGGTCTTATCTGTCTTCTGTGGTTCAGTTAGAGTTGGGACTTGCGTTAGTTTTTTTTTCCAAACCGTTTGATCTGTCTGAGATTCTCCCCAACAGACGTTGTGATTGAAACTTAAGTACTTCAGTCGTGCTCTGTGTATTGCAATGGGTTGATGTGTGTCCACGAGTCCTCTGTGCCTTTCCAAATGAAATAGTGCAACATATGCTCACAGCAGCAAAGGAATCTGTGTGGAGCTCGAGCGTGCAACCATAAACAGGCATCTGTATTCCCTGACTCAGCCAAAGTTGTTTGGCAGACTTAAGATGCTGTGTAGGCGTTTGTGGGTCTGATAGTCAATATCTCTGATCAAGATGGAGAAAATGTAGTAGTCAAACAAGGAGAGGTCTCACATCGCGTCTCACATTCAAAAACCTCCAACTCGCTCCCCTCGTCATGATGTACGCAACATCATCATGTCCCCACGTCCGGGCTCCTGTACTTGACTACTGAGCATTATTTACCTGCAAAGACTTGCACTAAAATGAATGGTGTCCACTGTGCATGTGCTGTATTCTCACCTTTTACCCCCACTCAAATTAAGGGGGGTTGCTACATTAGTGCTGTAATTAGCCTGGACAGTAGGTCAAAAACCTTGAGAAATAGTAATAATACCTTTTACTCCTTTTTTTATCAAGCATCAACTAACTCAGTTAACTCTAGTTTTCATTCTTGTAAAATATTGCCTTTAAACAAATAACCTTGTGATCATATGAGATTGATGGAGAGAAACTTAGATGGGGAGAGGTTAATGAATGTCATTGGATAATTCACATGAAGATATGCAGGGGTAAAAAAAAATATTACTCTTTTAGGAAAATTAAATTTTGTTTCCAACCTCTTCTAAGTATATGATGACCTTCTCAGCTGTGACTTCAGTTCTCTTTATCAGTGGATTCTTCTCCAACTAAAAAAAAGAACCAAAAAAAGTCAGTCACTATTTCAAAAATCAATACTAATAGTGATAATAATCTTAAATTCTCAATTAAATCTAATATAGTTGTAAGGGAATATTCATTTGTCTGTTGCATGAGATTTTCTCAGAGACTAAGGGGTTTACTAGAGCCGTTAAAAACCTGTATAACAAAAAAAGTCAGAATTGCAAAACTATGATAAAATTGAGTTTGCTGCTAGACTGTACAGAAACAACGTAAGCAGAAAACAGTTTTCTTTAAAAGTAATTATGAAGGTATTACCATTTTATATTATATATCGACTCTAAAGAATCTTTCACTTTTCATTAACTGCTGATTTATTTTAATGGAGATAAGTACAGTAAGTAATATCACCTGCAGGAATGCAAAAACACCTTTGGTTATTTTTTTCTATTGTTTTGAATATTTCATACTTACCTTTTTAACACTTTCCTCAATGGATATAAATCCTGATAGCATCTCCACTTCAACAATCACCATATTGGATGATATTCGGTTCCCAGAGTATCTAGAACAAGATTCAATTGTTTAGCACCAAACCTGGGTCTGATAACCTACTGCAGTTGTAGCAAAATGCACCATTGGAAAATATAGGTTTTTCTACTCAAAGAGAAACTGCAAATTTCTTGTCAATTCTTGTCAACATCAACATTGAAAAAATTCAATATTTCTACCAAGTCATCACAAAAATTATAAGAATCGAGCCCTGTCAGTACTATATGTATGATAAACAGTTTTTAGGTTCAGTCTATTTATAAATTATACTACACTATTAATTATAAAATGTCTTATATTTGTTATATCTGCATGAAACACCCTAAACAAGTATTTCATTATGATAAGACTGGGACTGTGCATATGTTTTCATTCTCACCTGACCTCCACGAGGATCTCAAAGCTTCTACCTACATGAGACGTGCAAACTGTTGGCTGCGTGTTCACACTCAGAATAAAATGTGTGTCAGTTTTAGAAGGGGGGATGTGATACTTCAGATATGTCTATATAAACAGAGCAAAATTTATTATCAATACATAACATAGAAAATGAAAAAATTAAATCTTAAAGTGAACAAAAGAGTAAATAAGAAACCTGACAAAAGTTTACCTTGTTAATTGTACTTTCTAACAGTCACAGATATTCAACTTGGCATCAGTGCAGACTGATGTCATTATTCAACAAGAATAACGTGGTAAATTGACAGCCAACTCAATAAACATAATCAAAATTGCAACATTTGTGAAAAAAACAAAACAAAACATCATTAGTCCTATGTGTTAGTGTTTTAATTTCTATCTCAGCTTCTTCAGTCTTTATTTAACACATTGTGAGCTCACCAGAGTGTGACTGAGTGTATTGACGAATGATTCTACTGACCTGTACGTAGACACAGCCTTTCCCTGTGGCAGTTACGGTGTATTTTCCAGGAATATATGGCAGTACTACCTTCTGCATAAGAAGACTTTTGCTTTTATCCACAATTAACTGTTTTTGAAACCCTGGATGTGAGCGAATCCTGATTTTGGCATTTCCACTCTCAATAAAAGTAGCCTTTGCATATTTTGAAAGAGCTTGAAGAGCCACAACTGTGTCCTATAAAAATAAGGCATTTTTTTTCAGATAATTTAAAAGCACATTTTGTGTTTATTTTGTTTAGTGTTTTATTGTGTATTCCTATCTTGTTTTTTTATTGTCTGATTTCTTTGTTGTGGATATATTGTCTAAAATGAGTAGTTGGAACATACATGTAATCAGATGACAGAGAGATTAATTAATGGATATCACTGGAAACTAATTTTACAGAAATAGTTGTAGAAGCAGAGAATTGCCCAAAATTATTAATTAAACTTTTGATTTATTTTAGGAAAAGATGGACTTTATGGGCCCGTTGCAGCTAATCTGCATTTGAAATTTATATATCTAGAAAAATGAGATTTATGTTTTATTAGATAACATGGTCTTAATATACTCTTGCACAACCTTTACATATTAAAAGAACAAAAAGACAAAGAATACAATTAATAAGGTCAGACGGCTCCCTAGAAAATTACCTCTAAATTTAAAAATCATTTTATAGGTAATACATCTTATTATAAATTGACATACAAAATAGGTGTAACAAAAAGTTAAAAGTGATAATCACTATCAATTAAAAAGGAGAGGAAACCTACATAGCTCAGTATCAATTATAGTGACAAATAGAAACAATGTGAGCTACTAAAATAGAATTTAAACTATATCCCATATTGGTATGTATCAAAAACATCAAAGTATCAAATTCAAGTGAACAGGATATAGTATTAGAACAGAGAAGCACTACACCACGGGTAGGCAACCTACGGCACTAGTGCCATGCATGTCACTCAAGATGTTTTTGCACGGCACTCAAGGCTGCTACAGCAAAACAGGCTCTGGCCTATCAGGAGTCCCAGTGAAACTTCAGATATCTGCTAATACAAAGAGGCGGTGAAGGACAATCCTCAATTTATGCATTACAGCACATAGAGGAACTGATCTCAGATCACTTCCTCCCAGCACTTGTGAATGGGAATCCACACTGTAGTAGAGCAGCCCGCAGCTGCTGTAGCAGCTCCTGTCCTTGACCTGTACCTGGCCAGCCTGGTCCCCATTGGAACCCAGGGAAGCCACCCACACTGCTAGATTTACACATAAATGCACAATAACCCTCCCCTCATACAAATACTATGAACAGCCCACAAGCAAACATACATACAATCCGCACAAACATAACCCGCTAACAATCCACATACATGCACACAACCCCACATGCAGCCTCTCACATGCAATACCCCAAACAGCCCCCACACATACACACACTACCAAACACAAAATGTGACATATCCATTCACATACACACAATTCACAAGCAGCCCCCATACACAGCCCACATTCATATGTATCATACATGATACCACAAACTACTCCTGAACATATACAATATAATAGCTCATATACGCACAAATACAACAATACAAAGCAATTACAGTATAAATAACACAAGCAGAATACAGCAGCATACCCACCTCAATTTAAAAAAATAGGACTGGCACGCTACGGGACATCACAATCCTATATCGGAACAGTGCTGCTAAAAGGTTGCCTACCCCTGCACTACACAATTAAACCAATTCACCTCTAGGGTAGCCACAAACAGCCACAGGTCTACAAGGAAATCCTGTTGGGAAGTACTCAAACTCCCAGAGACTAAATGAAGTAAATACATGTAATTTAAAGACTCTCTTTTATGTATGAAAATCCTATGGCTATAATTAGTTGCAAAGCAGGTAGAGATAGAAAGAGATCAATACCCAAAATGCTGAGGTAGATTCTGTGGTTTACAAAGGAAAAGTCCTGAGGTTAATTCCAAACTCGATACTGGTACTGAATGGGTTAAGTTTGACCCTTAGGATGCCATAGGTACTACTAGCTCACATTTTTTTGGTTTAAGTATTACTTCATATAGAACATTTCTCTAAACTCAATGTTAGATGCAAGGATAAAACAAAATACTTAAACATAAATAAAGTGATATAGTCCTAATGATTCACTCCCAACAGCAGAGAGACAGAGCATGAAGGCAGTATCGGGGAAGGAAGGGGGGAGAAAAGTAATAACACGGCTAGGTTGTAGGTATATATTCCTATAAATTATACATAAAGCTGGAGTGAAAATACATTATCCAGACCTATCTACCCTAGAGTACAGCTGCTTCAAGGCAGCCACCCCTCTTTATTAAGGTTAAATCTAGACTAAGCAAATCATAGCCCCAGGAAAATAAAAGGTAGTATCTCTCAGCCTTATAACTAAATAATCTCCATTCTTAGACACACAAACAAAAAAGGTTATAAAATCAAGTAAATCTCGTATTAGTGCATCGGCACATAGACTCGACGCGCGTTTCGGCGTAACTATCTGCCTTTATCAAGAGCTGAATCGCTACTGCATTGTGCCCACATTTAAAGGGGGTGTTGTATTGGGTCCACTTATCAGAGTGATATGACATCATCTAGTAGGATGCTCCTCCCTAGTTGAATGTCCCACCAATCCCCGGGCTCATATCAAACAACTCCTTTAAAATGACCAGCCCCCTATCACAACCCCATTCAGCTTACTTTAACCCCTGGTGTGCTTAAGAAAGTACAATGGAGGGACATGTTGCCCCCAAGATCAATTTGTATGAGTGCATTTTTATTACCCATAGTCTATTAATCAACAAGTACTCATAGGGGAAAAATGAAGAAAGTCCCAGGAGCTATCCTAATGGTGCAAGAACATTAATTCTAATGATTGTGTAAATTATATATTTATAGGGTTAAAACCTTTTGTTAACCCCTGATGATTTTAAGTAAATACAATGAAGGAGCATATAGCTCCAAAAATCTATTTGTATAAATACACTTCTATTAACCATCATCCATTATTCAACAAGTGCTCATAGGACAAGTTACCGAAGTTCCTAAAGATTATCCCATTAATCTAGGCATGTTAATACAAGCACTTGAATAAACAGTATATTTGTACAGTATAGAGTTAGAAGCTTGGACCCAGAATAATGTTAATGTCCTTAGTTCAATTCCTCAGAAGGTAAGAGGGAAATCAAGGGACTATATGGAATCTACTCATATGCTAACACATTATTAATGTACCTATGGTATAATACAGTAGTATAATATATAGGGGGAGCTTACTTTGGTTACTGGGTGAAAAAAATGAGTGAAAAAATTTAAATTAAAATAAGGAATATATTTCATACTAAATTACCATCTAGATGATTAAGATCACTCCCTCTGTCTCAAAATTGTGTCATAGTCCCCCCGTCTCTGTTCTCTTTTCACCAGTTCCAAGCCGCAGAATTTTAGATCTTTAGATTACCCTCTGTGGCAGTCCTTGAGTTGTAGGGAGATCGAAGTTTCCAAGTGGTTTTTAGGGGACCTTACATGCTTTGATTCTTTCTTTAAATGGACGGATAGTCTTGCCAACATATTTCAAATTGAAACTGCAGGTAAATAAATACACCATATCTGCAGTATTGCAGTTAAAAAAGCTGGTAATTTTGAAGGACTTAATAGCTGGTAATTTTGAAGGACCCTCACTATCCGTCACATTTTTTGAATCCCATACAATAAATTTGCATGCCATGCACCTCCTGCATCTATAGGTGCCACAGGGGGATGGGGGGGGGGGGAAGGGGGTGTTGTTCCTAACCATGTAGTTGGTGATTTTACAGGAGGTTGAAAGTGGCTCGGGACGAAGATATCCCTGAGATTTCTGCCTCTTCGTGCCGTGATGGTCATCTGAGGTCCAAGAACATCCTTAACTGGACATTATTCAATAGGATTGGCCAGAATCTCTGCATGGACTGTTTCACTTCACTCCATCCTGCATCAAATATTGCTATCATCCTAATAGCTTTGGCACTTTTTTTTGGAGGGAGAGCTGCCAGAAGGGCATTCCTATCAGTCTTCAATGCCCTCTCTTAAGCTCTTTTGAGGCATCTGTTAGGGTATCCTTTCTCTCTAAATTGCTGCCTCAATGCTTTGGCTTTAACTTTTAAAGTCATTTATGCCACTACAGTTTCTCTGTACCCTTCGGTATTGACCAACAGATATACCCTGTCTCAGAGGTTTCAGATGGAAGCTGTCCCATCATAAGAGGGTGTTGCAGGCTGAGTGTTTCCAATATAGTGTGGTTTGAAGTACAACTTCCTTGGTGATAGAGAAAGTAAAATGCAGAAAATTAAACGAGGGGCCCCCAAACTCAGAAGTGAATCTTAGATTCTCATCATTCACATTGAGAGCAGAAACAAAGTTGTTAAATTCCTCAGTGGTACCCTGCCACACCACTAGGACGTCATCTATATAGCAGTCCATAGATGAATCTTAGATCGGTATTGGGCCAGGGTATCCATTGTCGATAGATGCTCCTCTAACCAACCCAGGTGAAGGTTGGCATATGAGGGAGCACATGCTGTCCCAGTAGCCGTGTCCCTCACCTGATGGTAGAATTAGTTGTGGAACAAAAAATTATTATGCAACAAAACAGAACTCAATAGTTTCAATGTGAATGTTGTGTGTGCCTGGTAATTGGGCCCCCTCTGGTCTAGGTAGTATTTTACATGTGCCAACCCTTTATCATGCGGGTAGAGGAGTAAAGGGACTCCACGTCCAGACTACATAAACTTGCTTTCTCTGGTAGCCTTAAACCAGAGAGGAGAGTCAGGGCTTACTTAGTCTCCTTGATGTAAGAGGGTAGGTTTTCTATAAAAGGTCTTAGAATCCTGTCTATATAGAGACTCCCATTTTGGGTAATATTGTCCACCCCAGAAACAATGGGGTGGCAAGGTGGATCTTCAAGGCTCTTCTGGACTTTAGGCAAGCAGTAAAAGGTTGCCATCCTTGGGTGACTGTTTAGAATAAATTTGTATTCATCACCCGATAGCAACCCTTCACTGCGGCCATCGTCCAAAATCTCCTTATAGCGCTAGAGAAACACATTTGTAGGATCTGTAAACCTCTGGGAATCCTGTCTTTCTTAATGTAGTTTTCAAGTGAGGAAATTTCCCAGCATATCCGTATTTGTTCTTTATACAATTTATGGAAGTTATTAAATGACTGATTAATATGATGGAGGGATTTGTGTCCAGATTTTCATTGGAACCTTTTACACATCCTTACACAATGTATTCATATTCATTTTATTTGATAAGAAACCTGCCATGACTACAAAGTACAAAATTGAAATTTGAGATCCTGATCGTTAACCTTGGTACTAAAACCTAAATAATTGGACAAAAAAAGAAGAAAAACACAGCTCTTGGCCACAGATATAAGAAAACGTACTCTGTTGCCAGGGGTAGGTTCAGAAGTAATATAAAAATAACAATATATTAATTAATTAAAACTGTACTAGACATATAAATACAGCAATATATACTGTTAGCTGATTATGTTACATCATTACATATATTAGAACTGTGTGCATCCCAACATCATTGACACCTTTTCATATACTCTTTACAGTCACATCAATTAGATTTTCTCATATGATGTAACAGAATTATTTTTGGGATTCGTTTTCTGAAGTTGTATTCTGTGTAACTGAGCGACTCCTTGTGGCCATTTTTTTAACAACTCTAAGTTTGTATTACAATGTACAAGGACAGTGAAAGGAACAATCTAGGTAATAATATCAATATGTTTCTGTGTCGTAGTTATGGTGCATTGAGATTCATAACCATACCCATAGACCACCCCTTATCAGCTAAATTTATAATTCCACATTATAAATGTCAATTTCATTCATGTTAAACAGTAGGGATCACCAAAGTGTTGGACTCTTCAGTTCTATTCTCTTAGTATCTGTATTACAAACTCTATTTTCGTTATATCTGTGTATATGTAAACTATAGACTTGTTATAAATAAAAAAAATTAAATCTATGCACTCTTAATTAAGAATGACAATGCCTATTTAAGTTTAGAATTAGAAACAAATGGGAAAGATTAAGAGCAATATTGGACATTTCTTTATGTGGACCTAGGTACAAATGTAATTTTTAAAAAAGTTTTTATAATTATTCTTAGAATTATTATTATTGTTATTACCTTATACAGGAATAGAGCTAATGATGATTGTTAAGCCCATAACACATTTATAACAGTAAAAATTAATTAAACATCATCAAATAGATGAAGGTATTTGCCTTTAATAATGTAAATTGAACTTATACCATTAGGATTTTGAAAACAAAGGAAAAACAAATGTGGAACATATTGATAAAGAATGAAATTATATACTTAAAATATATTCAGAAATAATGAAATGATATCCTTCAAGAAGCTATACCTGCGTGGAAGAGAAGCCTCCCCGTGAATTCTGCTGTTTAATGACCCAACTGACAATATGCGAGGCTCCTGCAATATCTTTAATGGAAGCTGTTTTGTCTGAGAGAAAAGCCAGTAGTAAGTAAGAGGAAATCTCCACTCCTCCGCTGTCCGTAGAATCCAGAGCCCAATGCATGCTTCCCCCTGAATAATATAAAATCAATAATATAATGATCTCCATGGAACCTCAGATAAAAAAGGCATTTAAACCATCTTCTTACATGATTATTCCATTATCCAGAAAGCAGTGTGCATGCCAACTATCTGGTTTCAACTATGCTGGATCTGGATTCTTTAAAACATGTTACATTGCCTTTAGTCAGGCTGGTTGTTAAATGTCATTTTGTTTGCCTGTAATCCATATGGTATTTCAATGGCAATATTCAAACTATGATTAGAACGTGCCAGTATTTTATGTTCTCATATTTATTACTCTTCTGAATAAGACAATAGGTTCCATCCGATATCTTTATTTTTACCTTACCTTTCCTTATAGCCTTCTTTTCCAAACCTTTCAACATGCGATATCTCAGATCATTGTCTCCTGATAGAGTAAAAGCATAGGCCAAGAGTGCTTGACTATAGATACTGGTTACATTGTGTGCTTGGTTCTTCAAACATCTCAATGAGTCATGCACAATGCTCTCCTGGAAACAAATGTATAATTCAATCAAATCCAACAGGCAAATGGCATCAGTAACACAAGTACAACTTAAATTTTATTAAAAACAAGCAGGTGGTAATTCAGAATACAATGTATTTAACCAGTCAGTATATCTAGTTTTGCCTGACTGGACACATGAGCCACAGATAAAAGAGGTATTAGAAAATAAACAATCTGCTCTTTCTAATGGAAGTAAAATTCGTTAAATAAAACAGAGGGTCTAAGAGACCCTAATGATTAACAAGAAGAAGTTTATTGCATTTCTCACCTCCACATTCTGCTGATAAGGAATTTTTAAAAATGGATGGGATTTCACAGACACCACCTTCAATTGGGGGCTAGATAATGATTAAATATTTCCTCCACCCAGGTTGGTGGGATAGAGGGTAATATTTAATGAAGCTTATGGGTACTCAAACTTCCTATTCCATTAAGGACTGGACCAAAGGATACTCAGTCCTCTGATGCAAATTGCTAGAGGACCATAGGATGCCAAATACTTCCAGGGCTAAAATATTTAACATATATAAGTAACACTTGCCACTTGAAGAACTCTGGGCTGGAAGGTCTAGATTATTTTTACTTTACTTTCCAATGTTTTTTTATATTAATTTTCTTATTTTGTTCAGGTGAGTTTTTTGCAATTGGATATTTTTTTAAATCTAATATAGTTGAATCAGATTATGTCAGCACTTTTTTGGGAGGGGAAGAGGGGTTGCCTGAAGAAAGAGGCTCTTGAATCAGGACATGTAAGTATGAATTAGTAAATTTACAGTTTTCTTAGATTGTGCCACCACCCTTGCTCTTTAGACATTCTCCGGTACAGTTCCAGAGATGTCACATTCCTTTGTTACTTAAATTTAAAAAATGAGGACTCACATTATAAGCAGCACCACTTTCTAGCAACGCAATCGTGATGTAGGCAGCAAACGTCACTTCATCCGACACCTCACTCTGGAAAGAGATTAGCAGTTAAATGTTATGAACAATTGCTGATGTTTCACTTTTATTATATCTGGATTTCAAGGGTATGCAAAAGCAGATGTGACTTTGCTCAGTCTCTGTCATCAGATTCTGGTATGAAAAAACAACTTCACATCTCCCCTCCCCATATGTTAGAGTGAATGAAATGTGGGCACCTTCAGTTGGTTGTTAAAAAGGTATCCAACACTTTGGAAGCAGCCGCTTTGCATCTGTAGGCTGCTCAACCACTTTACAGCATCATGAATGTGCTTCTCCTCTACATAGATGAATTCTCGTGCCTGGGCAAATGACCTCAACACAAAGGCTGTCAGCCTACAAGAAGAATTAAGCACAGCTTAAGGTTTTAAATTGACGTACTTTAAGATCTATGACATATTATCAATCCTAAAATAAAACTAAAAATAGCACTGGAATAAATTAGCATTTTTACTATTCCATGTTTAGTTTGATAAATATAACATTTGCAACCTAAGACTCTGTAATACAAAGTAAAGATTTTATTGTAGGTTTTGTGTTTATACTGACACAGCAAAAATTAAACAATAGAATTTGGAAATCTGTCATTCAGATGAAAAGGAAGTAGAGACCAGTGAAAGTTTATTTTATTGTGTGACACAATCTAGAATGAGCCATGGCATGTGATTTAGTGGTCGGTAAGGATTTTAGGCTCCGAAGCATAAGGGAAGGTTGGGAAGGATATGTAAATATAGCTGGAAGTCTAATCTATACAATCAAAGTCTTTTAAGTTAATTGCTAAATCAACACAATGTACTGTTTAGCAAAACAGACTCCAAAAGGCAAAATGACTAGAAATTAAATAAAAAGAGGCATTTTAGTGGACTACTTTTAGTGGGCTAAATCTTGAGTAAGAGAGATCAGAAGCATAGTAGAGGATTGACATATGGAAAGATAAATATTGTATGATCCTAGATCCAACAGCTCTGATGTGATGTAAAGTTTGAGTGTTGGAAAAAAACAAACATTAATTAGCACTTTAACTGATTTAACTCATAGCAATCTCACACCTACCATGTGTTCCCCTCCATGTCTTTATTTCCAAATGCACTGTAAGACCCATCATCATGTTTAAACATCAGTTGTCTCTGGTACCCTGTGGATAGGATAATATTACAGTTTTGTTAGATATATCTGTACACAGAATTATTAACACACTGCAGTACAAATAACAATATAGTTCATTGCTTCTGTGAGACAATGTGTCAGCGTTCAATCTTCTTTACTGTTGACAAACTCACTGCTGAAAGGAACATGTTGCACAAAAACTCAATCAGAAAAGACTTAAAGGGTGTATTATTTGGGGTTTTCCTGAGATGTTTTGCAGTTCATTAAAAACAGAAATCTGTAATTATTTTTGTTAAAGGAAAGACTTCTGAAGATACGTCTGTTCTGCACATGATATATGATATTGAGTAGGTAAAGAAGAGTTATTCGGTATGAGAAATAGATGTATATTGTGCTTCTAGTGTTTCCACATGCATCCAGTTCTTTTGTGATTGGAATTTTGTCTTCATTTCTTAGTTATTGAATTAGTTTGTGAAACCAAGTCTATATCGGTCAGAGACTTAATGGCCCTGTTTTTATCAATAAGGGTAACTGTTTCAGTGGGAATATCATACCATAAGAATTGTAAATGCATCTGGAGAGAAGGAATTAGGTCTTTGACATTGCCACCATATGCTAAGTATGTTCCCTCTTGGCCACAAATCAAGATATTGGGTGTCATTGATTGAGAAAGCCAGCAATAATATAATGTTTTGATCCAACTGGTGAATTATACACAACTTTTTCTTTTTTTAGTAAGTTTAATGTAAGATTAGTGCTGCCTGGTGCTTTAATTTGGGAGTGAATTGTAGTATTACCTGCATAACCATATCTATCATTTATACCAGAGCTGGGTACCAATCACTGACATTCGTATCTATTTCATCTTCCATGGGCACATATTTGGGACTCTTGGAAGAAAAATATATTTATTATTTAAGGTGACAGCATTACTATTTCAAATAATTTGAATTAATTTACACATAACTGCAGAGAAGAAAGAGCTGGGTTGTAAGTCGTGCCAAAGTGCAAAACAGTTCATATCCAGGGTCAGAATATAAGGGTTCTCTTTAAACTGAGTGCAGTAATTCAGGAATAAGACACTACTTTCAGAATGATTGTCTTATTGTTGTACATGTTCATAATCTAAACTTAAACAAGAAGAAACGGGTCTTGACATTGCTTGCTGCCACCGAGTTGTATATTGTTGATTTCATGGTTTGGAATAAGGTATGGTTGAAATGATCACCATTATCGTGCCACCATTTTAATTTTTTTATTTTCATTTTATGTGTAATAGTTGGAGATTATACACAGGTGTAGAAGCTTCTGAATCTATGGATGTGTATGGATGAGTTTTTTTAAATGTGAAATAGACTTAGAAAACTTTGTCTTTCCACAGGCCTAGGACCACCATAGAGTTACTTCCTCACTTTTTTGTTTATTTTACCCAAATATTCCACATACATAAACACAAGCAAAACCTCGCCCACCTGTGGTCAGATGTGCTAGTGCTTGCTTGCTGAGTTCGGGGGTGAGTTGTTTGGTGCTCTGTAGATACTGCATAATGTAAATATTCGGAGCAAATAATGCCATATTCTGTTCACCACATCCAGTGGGCAGCCTAAGGGAATGTCCTATATTGCTTATAGCATTGCCCATGATATCACCTGCCAAAACATATGGGTAAATTGTTTAAGACAGACAGGTATACAGAGACAGACAGACAGGTACACAGAGAGATAGATAGATAGATAGATAGATAGATAGTAGCAGCTTTACCAAGCACAGTGATGTGTGCATATTCTGAGCCTTGCACCCAACCAGTTGGTATATGTACATACAATTCTTCTTGCACAGTTGTATCTGTCAGGGATTCAAAAGTAACAGAAACCAGGTTTAAATCTTTGTACTCGAATAAGCCCAATATCTGTGAACTCATTCAGATTTAATGTTAATGTACACTCTAGACTTAATGTTTAAGGTAAACGTTGAAGGTCCTTGTATAGTTAGCATTCTGCTTGCTTCTGCAAGGACATCTGTATAGACAAGGAAGTAGCAGTGACTCTTTGGCCAATCCTGATTATCCCATAGTTTTCAGTGAGAGAGCTGTATAGCGGGGTTTTTATTGGATAACAAACTCAGCTTGAACACTTTACTGCTCTTGATAGACCTGCATGAGGGACCATAAAGCTATTTGTGACACTAAATAAAGGCTACCTGGCTGCCTTGTTCTATGCAAAGCTTGATCTATCAGGGTTCTACATGAGCAATTATTTCATGGAAGGTACATGTTCAGGAGTAAGAATACAATTGTACTTGTTGCTTATTCTCATCACTTCCTCTGAGAAATGTGAGAGGAAGGGAGAAGCAAACGTCCTTGCATACATTTCACGATATGCAAAAATAAATGCTTCATATTTTTGCATGATGTTTGATCTGATTTATTACAATGTCTAATATGCTTGGAAAACCAGTTTAATCACAGACCCACATTAAGAACTGGGGGCAGTAACCATCTGCAGCAGTATTTCTTGGGGTCCCCACAAAATATTGTCTACTTATCCCCAACCTGTATTGTCATCACACCATCAGCCGATCACTGACAGACTGCAAGTAGAATCTTCCTTCTCTACAAACCCCATATATAGCACAACCAGGAACCAGGAGAGTTCCAATATAGCAGCTCAATTGAAGCACAAATCCTACTCTACATTGGCATCCTTAATGACAGTTCCAATCATTTCCTGTATATGAAGACTAAGCACCCCTGCACGAGTGCCTGCCCTGTCTTTGATTCTTACCCTTAGCCTTCCGCTTGATGGAACCCAAACAGGATAAGACAATGATTGCACCTCTGCCTTGCAAAATAATAGGTTTTTTGGACATGATTGTTTTATCACTGTGTTAGCAATATTGGTTAATTGAAACTCCCATCATTCTCAGCACGCGTTAAATTTGGTTTTCAGTTTTTTTGAGATATAGTGATAAATGAAGGGGGGAATTTATTTGTTATTTTGTAAACTGTTACTATGGTTTGAGACAGTAAAAGCCCATTACACATATGAACATTTTACTCATTCACTTCATGCATGAATTGTTTATTATGGTACCCAGTTATGGTCCGGATGTACAAACAAACCTCCCATAATGCTTTATTAATATTAAGGCTCTACATAATCTTGTGTGTTACCTGAAGGACAAAGAAGGGTTGTTTCTGTATGTTCCTGTAAAATTCCTCTTGGCTGAAATAAAAATAGAATATACGATGAGCTATAGCTGTTTGGCAGCTCATATACACTGTTTCCTATTGCCATCTTTATAATGCAAATGCCAGGTTTCTATGTGATATTTTATTTAATGTTTGTATCTGTTACTTTGTTTGTAGCCAACCCCCAGAGGGATTTAAATAATGCTGGATTCCCTTTACCTGACTAAAATGCGGCTACATGAATTATATAGTAGCCCGGCCAAGTAAATGTAGCATTATTAATTTTTTAAGCTTGATTTCTAACTTTCTGCATATAGCATTCTATCTACTGTCTCTCTATCTGTCTGTCTTTGTGTCTGTTATACATATATTATCATATATAGTGCATTGGCTCTCTGCATGTCTTTATTTTATACCCCCCTCTGATGAGCCAATCTGGCGAAACCCGTGTGTCAGGGGCTCTTGGTGCTCCACATACAATCAGTGTCATATGCAGATACATGAATACAGTGGATTATGAGGCTTAAGGCTGTGTCTGGAGGACCTTGCTATTATTTATTACATAGAATCTTACGCATTTAAAAAAAAAAAATATTTCTTGTGACATATATATATATATATATATATATATATATATATATATATATATACACAATCTACTTTAATTAGGGGGGTTTAGGTAAAATTAAAAGGGATGGCCTCGAAGGCACATGAGGATTGTTGTGTCGCAATATTATCTTTCTGTGTTCTTCTGAAGTTTCTAAGTTTAGGAACACTGCTATTGCTTTTAGTCAGCTCATTCTGCAAAATTCCCATGATGATCTGGCCCCTTGCAGGATTATTACCATGCATTAAAGTGATCTTACTACCTCCAATGTTATTGCATAAACATTTCAGGAGGTGTGCTGAGTTTTGTCACTGGCATGCGGTGCCCTCAAAGGTACATCAGGATTTTTGTGTTACAATACTATCTCTCTGTGTTTTAAAGAAGTTGCAAAGTTTATCAATACTGTTACTGTTTTCAGTTAACATATTCTGACTGCAACTATTACAGTTGTTATAATCTCTGAGCAAAATTCCTTTGATGACCTGGCTCTCTTTCGGATAATTACTGCACAGGTGGTCCCTCCACTACTCAGCCACCTGGTACAAACACCAGAAACCACAACAACCTAATACCAATTCCATGTAATTATCACTATAATTCCTCTTTTAAAGCTGCCCTCTGGAATGCACGCTCTGTGTGCAGCACCTTTAAATCTACTTCCATCCATGACCTATTTATCTCACACTCCCTAAACCCACTTGCACTAACAGAAATATGGCTCTCTCCCTCTGATACTGCTACACCTGCCTCACTGTCCTTTGGTGGTCTTCACTTTACCCACAATCCAAGACAAGCGAAGATTAAAGGTGGCGGTGTAGGTTTTCTTCTCTCACTTCACTGCTTCTTTAAAACCCTGTCCACCCCCCCTTCCCTCTCTTTCCCATCATTTGAAATTCATTCAATTTGCCTTTTCAAACCCTTCTCTGCTAACATTGCCGTAATCTATCGTCCCCCGGGTTCCCCTGTCCTCTTCCTTGACCACTTTGCTGCCTGGCTACCCTACTTCCTCTCTTCCAACATCCCATCCCTAATTCTTGGAGACTTCAATATTCCCATTAACCCACCTTTAACCCCAGCAGCCTCTAAACTACTTTCAATTACGTCCTCCCTTGGACTTTTGAAATGGGCTAATTCTCCCACTCATGTAGCTGGCAATACCCTCGACCTTATTTTCTCTTATTCATGTACAGTATCTAATATCTGTAACACTCCATTTCCTCTCTCTGATCAGCACCTCTTATCGTTTGCTCTCAATTACCCCCTCACCCAACAATCTCAGCCTAACCCCCCTCATCTCAGGAGGAACCTTAACTCTATTGACCTCCAGCAGCTGTCAGCTGACATTGATTCACAACTGCTATCCATCCCTTCCCTCTCCTGTCCCTCACTGGCCATCTCCACATATAACACCACCCTCACATCTACCTTGAATGCTGCAGCCCCACTTCAAACATGCACCTCGAGGAGGACACAACCCCAACCTTAGCATAATAAATCAACACGCTATCTGCAGAGTTGCTATCTGCAGAACGCTCCTGGATGAAGTCCCGCACCCAGGCAGACTTTCTCCATTATAGATTCACGTTGCTTTCATACAGCGCAGCCATCGCCCTCGCCAAACAGTCATACTTTTCCTCTCTCATTAGTTCATGCTCCCGCAATCCCAGACGTCTCTTAGACACCTTTAATTCCCTTCTCTGCCCTGCTGTGGCTACCCCCCAAACTAACCTTACAGAAACATAGAAACATAGAAACATAGAATGTGACGGCAGATAAGAACCATTCGGCCCATCTAGTCTGCCCAATTTTCTAAATACTTTCATTAGTCCCTAGTCTTATCTTATAGTTAGGATAGCCTTATGCCTATCCCACGCATGCTTAAACTCCTTTACTGTGTTAACCTCTACCACTTCAGCTGGAAGGCTATTCAATGCATCCACTACCCTCTCAGTAAAGTAATACTTCCTGATATTATTTTTAAACCTTTGTCCCTCTAATTTAAGACTATGTCCTCTTGTTGTGGTAGTTTTTCTTCTTTTAAATATAGTCTCCTCCTTTACTGTGTTGATTCCCTTTATATATTTAAATGTTTCTATCATATCCCCCCTGTCTCGTCTTTCCTCCAAGCTATACATGTTAAGATCCTTTAACCTTTCCTGGTAAGTTTTATCCCGCAATCCATGAACCAGTTTAGTAGCCCTTCTCTGAACCCTCTCTAAGGTATCAATATCCTTCTGAAGATACGGTCTCCAGTACTGTGTACAATACTCCAAGTGAGGTCTCACCAGTGTTCTGTACAATGGCATGAGCACTTCCCTCTTTCTACTGCTAATACCTCTCCCTATACAACCAAGCATTCTGCTAGCATTTCCTGCTGCTCTATTACATTGTCTGCCTACCTTTAAGTCATCAGAAATAATCACCCCTAAATCCCTTTCCTCATATGTTGAGGTTAGGACTCTATCAAATATTCTGTACTCTGCCCTTGGGTTTTTACGTCCAAGATGCATTATCTTGCACTTATCCACATTAAATGTCAGTTGCCACAATTCTGACCATTTTTCTAGTTTACCTAAATCATTTGTCATTTGGCTTATCCCTCCTGGAACATCAACCCTGTTACATATCTTAGTATCATCAGCAAAAAGACATACCTTACCATCAAGACCTTCTGCAATATCACTAATAAAAATATTAAAGAGAATGGGTCCAAGTACAGATCCCTGAGGTACCCCACTGGTGACAAGTCCAAGCTTCGAATATATTCCATTAACTACAACCCTCTGTTGCCTGTCACTCAGCCACTGCCTTACCCATTCAACAATATTTGAATCCAAACTTAAAGATTGCAGTTTATTGATAAGCCTTCTATGTGCAACAGTGTCAAAAGCCTTACTGAAATCTAGGTAAGCAATGTCTACTGCACCACCCTGATCTATAATTTTAGTTACCCAATCAAAAAAATCAATAAGATTTGTTTGGCATGATCTCCCTGAAGTAAACCCATGTTGTCTCTGATCTTGAAATCCATGTGTTTTTAGATGTTCATCAATCCTATCCTTTAACATGGTTTCCATCACTTTCCCCACTACTGAAGTAAGGCTTACTGGCCTATAGTTGCCCGACTCCTCCCTATTACCTTTCTTGTAAATGGGCACAACATTCGCTAACTTCCAATCTTCTGGGACTACTCCTGTTAACAATGATTGGTTAAATAAATCTGTTAATGGTTTTGCTAGTACACCACTAAGCTCTTTTAATAGCTTTGGGTGTATTCCATCAGGTCCCATTGACTTATTTGTCTTTACTTTTGACAGTTGAAATAGAACCTCTTCCTCTGTAAACTCACGTGTAATAAATGACTCATTTATCCTTTTTCTCAACTGAGGTCCCTTTCCTTCATTTTCTACTGTAAATACAGAACAAAAATATTCATTGAGGCAGTCAGCCTGACCTTTATCCTCTTCTACATACCTTCCTTCTTTTGTTTTTAATCTAACTAATCCTTGTTTTACTTTTCTTTTCTCATTTATGTATCTAAAAAATGTTTTATCCCCCTTTTTTACTGACTGTGCTATTTTCTCTTCTGTGTGTGATTTGGAAGCTCTTATAACTTGCTTAGCCTCTTTCTGCCTAATCTTATAGATCATTTTGTCTCCCTCACTCTGGGTTTTTTTATAATTCCTAAATGCTAACTTTTTGTTTTTAACTATTTTGGCCACATCTGCGGAGTACCACAGTGGTTTCTTGAATTTTTTGCTTTTACTGACAAGCCTAATGCAATTTTCTGTTGCCTTCAATAGTGCAACTTTTAAATAATCCCATTTTTCTTGGACTCCATTTAAATTGCTCCAGTCTGATAATGACTCCTCTACCCATATTCTAATTTTAGAAAAGTCTGTTTTTCTAAAGTCTAAAACTTTTGTTTTTGTGTGGTGTGACTCAGTCACTGTTCTTATATTAAACCACACTGACTGATGATCACTGGATCCTAAACTTTCACCTACAGTAACATCTGATACCAAATCTCCATTTGTTAACACTAAATCTAGTATGGCCTCTTTACGAGTTGGCTCCTCAACAACTTGCTTTAGAGACAACTCCAGTAGGGAGTTTAGAATATGTGTGCTCCTGGCACAAGTAGCTAATTTTGTTTTCCAATTTACATCAGGAAGATTAAAGTCACCCATGATGATAACTTCCCCCTTCATTGTCATTTTAGCTATTTCCTCAACTAGTAGATTATCTAACTCTTCAATTTGTCCAGGGGGCCTATAAATCACACCTACACGAGTTACTGTGTGATTACCAAATTCTAACGTAGCCCAAACGGACTCTATGTTTGCCTCACTAACTTTTATTAGGCTAGATTTTATGCTATCCTTCACATACAAGGCCACCCCTCCCCTTTCTTGCCTTCCCTATCTTTCCTATATAAAGAGTACCCTGGTATTGCTATGTCCCAGTCATTTTTCTCATTGTACCATGTCTCAGTAACAGCGACTAAATCTACACTATCAGTTGCCATTATTGCCACAAGTTCATGGATCTTATTCCCTAAACTGCGAGCATTTGTAGACATGACTCTAAGCTTATCATTTTTTAACACACTTGCTACAGGCACCTTCTGTCCTTGTTTTGGGGGACAATTGGATTGATGTTTTATCACCCTTTTGCCCCCCCCCTCCTAGTTTAAATACATCCTAGCAAAACCTCTGAACTGCTCACTGAGAACATTTGTTCCCTTTTGAGAAAGATGCAAACCATCTTTTTTGTACAGCTTATCTCCATTCCAAACAGAGCTACCATGAGAAATAAAGCCAAATCCTTGCTCCCGACACCATTCACCAAGCCACAAATTAAAGTCCCTAATACGCATCCGCCTGTCGTTCTGAGTGTTATGCACAGGCAGAACTTCAGAGAATGACAGTGTGGAAGCAACCTGCCGTATATCATTGGCAAAAACACTAAAAACTTCCTTAACCTCTGAAACCTCATTGCAAGCCAAGTCATTTGTCCCTAGATGGACAAGTACATCCAATTCCCCTTCCTGCTTTGCTTGCTTAACAATATTACAGATACGTCTCCTGTCTCTGTGAGCAGTAGCTCCGGGAAGACACCTCACAAGACCACCATTGTCCATCTCCACACCTCTTATAATGGAATCACCCAACAACAACTGCTTTCTATTAGGCTTCACCATACTCTCCAAGCCGGTCTCCACAACACCACTAGTCTCAGTGCCTCTCTCCACAACACCACTAGCCTCAGTGCAGCTGACAGCTTTGCATGCTACTTTACCGACAAGATTGAACAGCTAAGGAAACAATTCTCCCCTCCTTGCCATTCTCTTTCTCAACCACATGTAAATCATGCTTTCCCTACCCTCCAGACTTTCTACCTGGCTACTGAACAAGAGGTGGCTGCGCTTCTCCATTCCTCTCGCCCCACCACTTGCCCGCTCGATCCTGTCCCATCTCACCTCATCAGATCTCTCTCCACTTGTCTTGTGCCTACCCTAACACACATCTTTAATTGCTCTCTCTCTTCTCGCACTGTTCCTGCTGACCTTAAACATGCCACTGTAATACATATCCTGTAAAAAACATCTCTTGACCCATCCTCCCCTTCTAACTACCGTCCCATATCCCTGCTCCCTTTATCATCAAAGCTTTTGGAAAGACTTGTCTTTACCCGTGTGTCCCGCTTCCTTAATTCCAACTCTCTCCTTGACCCTCTTCAGTCTGGCTTCTGCCCTCTCCACTCTACTGAGACTGCTCTTATCAAAGTGACTAATGACCTAATCTCCGCTAAATCCAAAGGTCACTACTCCATATTAATTCTTCTTGACCTCTCTGCTGCCTTTGACACCGTTGATCATGCTCTCCTCCTTCAAACTCTTCAATCGCTCGGTCTCTGTGACTCTGTCCTCTCTTGATTTTCCTTCTATCTCTCCCAACGCTCATTCAGTGTCTCCTTTCCCAAGGATACCTCCTCCCCTTGTCCTGTCTCGGTTGGAGTTCCCCAAGGGTCTGTCCTTGGTCCCCTTCTATTTTCTCTTTATACTGCCTCTCTTGGTAAACTTATTGCCTCTTTTGGATTCCACTACCACCTGTACGCTGATGACACTCAGATATCCCCAGACCTCTCCTCTGCTGTCCTGCAACGTGTCACTGCTTGCCTTTCTTCCATCTCTGACTGGATGTCCTCACGCTTTCTGAAACTTAACCTCTCTAAAACTGAACTCCTTGTTTTTCCTCCTCCTAATACTGATCCTCCTCTCTCGCTCTCCCTTCAAGTCAGTGATATCCACATAAGTCCATCCCTGCAAGCACGCTGTCTTGGCGTCATACTTGACTCTGGTCTCACCTTTGAGTCTCACATCCAGTTTGTTGCCAAGTCCTGTAGGTTCCAACTCAAAAACATAGCCCGCATTCGCCCCTTTCTTACGCAAGATGCTACCAAGGAGCTTGTCCATGCTCTAGTAATTTCCCGCATGGATTACTGTAACCCTCTCCTGATTGGTCTCCCCAAAAGCCATATTGCCCCGCTACAGTCTGTAATGAATGCTGCAGCTAGGCTGATTTTCCTCTCTAGTCGGTCCTCTCACACCTCACCCCTCTGCCAGTCCTTACATTGGCTCCCTGTATGCTATAGGAGTCAATTCACTCTCTCCTATGGGACAGTGCTTTGCTCTCTCCTCCAGCTCTGCTTCACTCCTACTTGATATTTCCTGTTCTTATGTTTCTAATACCCCACCTCCTATAGTCTGGAAGCTCATTTGAGCAGGGTCCTCTTCAACCTATTGTTCCTGTAAGTTTTCTTGTAATAGTCCTATTTATTGTTACATCCCCCCCTCTCAAAATATTGTAAAGTGCTATGGAATCTGTTGGTGCTATATAAATGGCAATAATAATAATAATAATAATAATAATAATAATAATGTAATTTTACTATCTCCCTCTGCTACTACATGATTATCTCTACCTGCTGATTTATATAACACATTCAGTTTGTACTTTATATACCTAAGCATCCAGCAAGGAATTAGAAATACACAATCCCGTCTTTACTATATTTTTTTTCTATATCTTGATTTTTATTAGATTGTGATTTTATTTGGCAGTTTGACGACTTTAATCATATATATTAAATGTTAAGTTTCAAACTAGCATGACTTACATTTTCCACTCTCTTAAAAATACTTAGTTTCTAAAGACAATTCATTTTCAGAATCCATACTACCTCTAGCCTTATATATTCATCGCAGGAACATTTGCACTTTCTCCTCTGTTGAAGTATTTTTTATTATTTAATTCCTGTCTACAAAGGACACGATCTAATGAACTTCTGCTTATAGACATATAGGATCTAGTTATTACAATAGTGGTGAAAACATTGTCCCTCAGTGTAAGATCTCTTAAACTCAGTTGTCTTCATAAACACATTTCATTTCGGAATATGTCCTGGTACATGGATCGAAGCATTGGGATGTGATAAAAGACTTAGATTAAGACTAGTATTGAAACAAACACTGTGGGGAGCAAGACCTACCTCAAGGCATTAGAAATTCTACCAAGTGTTAGACACTTGCTGTGACCTCAGCTAGCATTGACATCCTTTGCTGAATGAGATGATGCCACACTATCAGGGTTTAAAATGGGAATTCAAAGTGAATTTCCAATTTAAGGCAAAGGAAGCCAATCTGGAAGCATAGCTATCTTAGAGAATGTTTCCAATTCAGCTTTTTTTCTACCTGTTTTTTAAACTGTTTATGTTCATTTAATTAATAAATTATTATTATTTTTTTTATTAAAAGAAAGGTACTTTCAGATTAGTCTGGTTTTTAAGTACATCCTGGGGTTGCTACTATTATCCAATTTAATGGTACACATTTTATCTACCTCGGAAGGATGAAGGGCTGAGTCAACCCTGTGACCCAAGGGTTGAACAGATTCTACTGATGATGCATTAGCCCACTGAGCTATCTCACCGGCAATAATCATGGCTTTGTTTTGTTTTCTTTTCCCTGTATGTGTTTGTACCTACTTTAATTTGTTGAATTTTTGTACAATATTTTCATTTCAATACGGTATAAGTTTTTTTAGTGTGATAATGTTTAGAAAATATATATTTTGAGTAAACAATAAAGTTACTTTCATTAATCTAATTACGACTAGTTATGTCTTTATTAACATCCATATGAAATTTCACTTCTCACCTTTACTATTATAGATTTTGCCAATGAATCTGACCTTGGTCTCTTTTTTTGGTCAAGATCATTTTGGGTACATTCTCCATCCTGCTTCGTGGCATAGCTTCTCACTTGGATTTTAGTGGTGCCTTAAACAAGAAAAGCGATCATAGTAAAACTGGCCGTATCTATGCTTTGATGTTGGATATGTTTGTTATTATTTTATTATTTTAAAGGTAGACAAGTCAATAGATAGTAATAATTTATTTATTAAACATTAGTTATATATGCAATGTATTAAGGATGTTACAAGAGTATTGACAAGTTCTGTCTCTGAGCCTCTGAATCTCTAATTGTCTGTGGTATGAACTGGATTAATAAGATATCTATATTCTACATTCTGTATTCTACATTCTATAGAGTGGGGGTAAGCAACCGTCAGCACTCCAGCTTTTGAAGAATACAAATCTTAGAGCAATAATGCTCCATTGAAACCACTAGAATATTTTTCAGTGATTACACCCTAGAAATTTTATTTGTGAAAAGCAATTTACAACTTGCAAGCACCACACACGGACAGGTGCAAAAATATAACATGTGAGTAGCCTGACATATTTGTTATATTGGTGCACGACACACAACTGTTTGTTGTTTTTTCAAGAAGCACCCCACGCACCATAACCACTACATAATGCTGGCCTGCATCTCAGCCTTTGAAACTGGAATGTAAAAGCCTCATTACTCAAGAGATGTAAAAACTGATTTAAAAAATTGAGCAGTTGTCATGGAAACTATTGAATGTTTCCCTTTATTTAGTCACATCAAATGAATTGCCCCATAATTCACCTCCATTTAGCAAATGCTGCATATTGCAGCTCGGGGTAACAAATTGTAAAACATGATTACCTATTTTTGTAGCAGTGATATTCCAGGTAAAGCTTGCAGTCTGATCTGCACAGATACAGCTGAACTGCTTCTTCATGCTCTGGGTAGAGGTAAAGTCTGGGGAATCCAATAGAGATACTACAACCTGCCACCAAGAGAGAGGAAGAGAAGATTTTATTAGGATCTGTTCATTACTCAGGGTCATTCACTAAATCAGGAATTGTCAGATTTTAAGCCAATACAGCTGACATTCACTGACAATTTCCAGTTTAGGGAATAAATCACACTTACAATTATTCATCTGATATAGAAAGCGCGGCTGGGTTCTCAGTCTGTTTCAGCAACTTTAAATGACTGATAGCATACAGTTTTCAGCAAGAGAGAAGGCAGATGGATGGACAGACAGACAGTCAGACACAGACAGACAGACAGATAGATAGATAGATTTGTATCTATTTTGCCATGCCCACTGTATGTGACAATAAGTATTGCTGCATGTCTGCTAATATTTCAGACTATTTGCTATATTGCGAAAGAGATAATACCACATCATTTCTAAAAAATAGTTATTCAATATTTCTGTAAACACTTAATTCACATATAAATAATATACACGTATACATATACATTCTATTTATATATTCATCTGAACTTCAATCTATACAACCATTCTGTTTTCTTCTTGTGCTAGCTATGTAGTACATGGTTCAAGTAAATGATTTGCTAATAAAAGTGAGAATTATCAGACATTCACAGTTAATTCAGAGAGAATTTCAAACGTAAGGCCAAAATGGCCAATTGGAAACATTCTCCCAGGACTACACATGGTGTTATGGTCAGTATTAAGAAAATACATAAGTTTGAATAACCTAGTAACCCTTTGCTAATATAAAATTTAACTTTTAATGACCAGTAAGGTACAATGAAGCATGTTCTGTATACACATTTTGCTGTTATGTAATCTGACATTTGTCGCTTCATGGTGCACACAACTTGGCATTGTCCTGATCATACATACCATTGAGCAATACTTTAGGTAGCTGAAGACATGGGCACTAAGTGTAAATTCCTCCCCCTGAATCACTGAATAGGGCAGTTTCAAATCAATGAAGTAAGGTTTGAATGTTGTGAGCTCAACATCATGTGTCTCTCCAAAACCTGATTTTCCCAGGCAAAATGCATCCGTTACCCAACTGGTGATGCTATCAGGAGTTGTTAAATTTAATAGGGCATGTCCTTTTGGTCTGCAAGAGAACAACAGTATATCAGAAGACAACAGTTCATATCCTCATCTTGATCTCAATTGCACTTACATGTTATGCCATGAGGATGTGGGATATAGGTGCCATAGGGATGGCTAGTCTGGAATTGAGGGACCATGGTGATTGGTAATGTGGGATGCAGTTACCACAGAGATTGGCAATGTGAGATGCAGGTACCACAGAGATTGGTAATGTGGGATGTAGGTATCACAGAGATTGCTAATGTGGGATGCAGGTACCACAGAGATTGGTCATGTGGGATGCAGGTACCACAGAGATTGGCAATGTGGAATGCAGGTACCGCAGAGATTGGTAATGTGGGATGTAGGTATCACAGAGATTGCTAACGTGGGATGCAGGTACCACAGAGATTGGCAATGTGGAATGCAAGTACCGCAGAGATTGGTAATGTGGGATGTAGGTATCACAGAGATTGCTAACGTGGGATGCAGGTACCACAGAGATTGGTTATGTGGGATGCAGGTACCATGGAGATTGGTAATGTGGGATACAGGTATCACATAATTGGTAATGTGTAATCCAGATATCAAAGAGATTGGTAATGTGGGATGCAGGTACCATGGAGATTGGTAATGTGAGATGCAGATACCATGGAGATTGGTAATGTGGGATACTGGTACCACCAAATTGGTAATGTGGGATGCAAGTATCACAGAGATTGGTAATGTGGGAAGCAGGTACCATGGAGATAATAAGGTGACTCTTTCTTTCTATATATGCAATGTAGGTGACATGTGAATCCCTGGTGGATGTTCTAAGACTGGGTTTACCAGCTAAGGCTTGTCAATGTCCCTTTAACATTACAGAAGTTTCTGATTGTGGCACTAATCATATTGAAAGTTATCAAATATATCTCCGTAGGTGACAAAGTTAATTTACTGAAGAGTTCTAGCTAAATGTATAAAGGGTAAATTAAAGGAAACAAATAAACCCTTGCATGTTGAAATGTGGAGGTATTTTACTTATCTGGGGGTAGCCGAGATCCTCAGCTCCCGGCCGTGGTCCTCATTACTCCTGCCTCCACATGAGCTGCGGCGACTCGATCTCCTCTTCTGAGCGTGCACTGACCACAATGATTGGTCACACGTCACGACTGCACCCTTAAAGGGGCAGTGGGAGCCACAAGTGGGTTCAGACTCCCAGTGGCCTACGTCATTCCGGCACCCCCACACATGCTTTGGGGTGTAGGCATGATGTGGGCCAATCAAATGTTAATTAAAGGCTATTAAAATTCTCTAGCCCTATCCACTTTGTCCTATCGTGGTTTCTGTTTCAGTACCTTTTAGTGTGTTCCTTGATCTATTGTGTTTATTCTGATATTGACCTTGGCATTGTTCCTGACTCTGAGTTTATCTTTTACCCTTTCCTGTCTTTTTTGCCCATCTGACTGATTACTGTGTACCTGACTCTGGTTAGTTCTTGTTTTCGCTGTCTCTCCATTACCCTGACCTTGGCTCATCTCTGATTATGCTTTATCTCAGTCTGACATTTAGTCCGGCCATTCTAAGGCCAGTAAAAGATTATATCCTTGTCTTGTCCCTTGCTATGCTAAACTCTGTGTGTTGGGGTATTACACCATGACATGAAAGCACTGGGTTTAACCAGATTTCTACACCCTCTACAAGGATTGTAGAGAAGTTCTGGAAAAGATTTTGGAAATGCTGCTCCTGTGAAGAGAGTGGGAGTGTTTACATGGCATTATGTAATTCTATTATTTCATACCTCATAGTACTAGGGATATGACAATATCCAAGGTAATATGTTCCAGGTCACAATATCATGTTCCACACCATCACAACATGTTCCCGGTCCATGGAACCTCTGCTTATTTTTATCTGCCAGGAGCAGTGTTTTAATGTTCTAGACATCTGGATATCAGTAGTTCTCAGCCTGAAAAGACTGAATCAAAGAACTAAGCCAGAAGTCTTAAAGCCACGCTTAAGAATAGTGGTTATGTCCAAGTCATATTAATTGAAACTAATATGAACTGACTGATTTTCATCCTAGTCAATACCACACTGCCCCTCAGGGCTGATTAATGGATAGATCATCTCAAATATTATCTTAGGGAATATTTTGATTTAGAAAACAACTTAGAAAAGAGACAGAATTGGTACATTCTTGTTACTATGGAAAAAAATAACATTCTGTATAAATGTAAACCCCATTTCTTTTACAAACTCTTAATTTCACCGAGGATTTTTAAGCAAGTGAAGCATATACATCGCCCTGTGATAGCTCTAATTAATCTTACCCTATTGACACCAATTCATACAGCCAGGTGTCTGGGAAATGTATTCGCTGCCTCTCTGAATCTTCCTCACTTAAGGAAGCTGGAAAGAAAGCAGAAATCAATAACCTGAAGATAGAAAATAGATGTAGAGAATGAACTACATGATAGAAGAATAGAAAAAAATATAAATAGAGATAATTACAACGTAGAAAAAAAGAAAAGAAAACAAACATCATGCTTTATCACCTTCATGTTTGATAATTTAACACGGCATTCGTAATATAGCGAGCTTCATTTAACCCATTGTGATTAAGAGATTAAAGAGACAAAAATAGGGTCAGTAAAAACTGAGAGAGAAAAAACCACACAGACACACAGTGCCATACTGTTATTAACTAAAGTGTGAACCCAAAGTATATTTTTTATTTGAGGCCAAAGTAGCCAAAATTGAAGCATAGCTGATGCATAGATGATGTTTCTAGATTGGCTATTTTTACCTTGAATTTGAAATTTACTGAGAATTCACCTTGAAATCTCACTTTAGTGACTAACTAAATTTGGGCTACGTTTAAAAATGTTAGGCTATAATTTCAATAGAAATTGGCAATTTTATGAATGAACCTTGATACACCCCCCTGGCTGTCAATCAGATAACTGGTCCTGTTACTTCCTGGTTTGGTTAGCTCAGTGGAGCTAAACCAAGAGACAGCAATTACCTAGAGCCCATGCCTTGTGCCCATGACTTGCAAAGACTACTCATTGAACTGCGTAGGGAAGTCTATGATTGGACAGCCACAGAAAGTCAGGCATTGTTAGAAGGGGAGGGCTTTTAAAGACTGCAGACTAGAGAACTGAAGCTTTTGCAATCTTTTTTTATGTATATCCCCAATGAAAAAAACGTATAATTAAATGTATGCATGTTTTCATTGGGATATTTAATAATTCTATATAGTAGAATAGTGTTTTTTCTGTTTTTGTGTTTGGATAAGGAAGTGTCCTTTTAAGTTTGTGGAAAAGGATGATTAAAATAACATTTAATGGTATAAGGCAATTTCTTAATTTATTGCATTTTTGATAATCTAAAGCTGTTGGATGCCTTTCCCTGTGATTTGATGCAGAGAAAGTATTTGATCACTGGGGATACAAAAGGAAGTTTGTAGAAATGTGTGAAATGAAGAATCATTGCCGTTATGACATTGTATCCCCCTTAATTGACAAATATTTTTATATTGTAGGCAGGGGTGTCCTTTATCTCCACTGCTACATAAATTCAGACAGGGGACCCCAGGACTATAGAATTAGGGTGAGTAAAGATTTTGCAAGGTTATAGATTTCTAACACAGATAGCCATTACGTTGAATGATATTATGCTAACCTTTATGAATCTGGTTCTGTTATCACCTAATTTTAACAGTTTACTTACAAATTACATATTTATATTGTAGATTATAATATGTACTGGATGCAATACATAGGTCAGAGCTAACTACTCACGATCAGAGAGATCTGTAACTTCCGATTTCGCGATTGTACGAAAGGAACTGCGTGGGTTGAACATTGGAACCACACATGACACCGGCTTCCTGATCTTAGTGTTGGTGAAAACCTTGAGAGCACTTATCTTTTGGGTTCAAATATAAAAATAATAAATTAATAAACAAAATTGACAATGAAAGCAAAATTTCTCATCAGGAACATTATTCCTTATTATTATATTAAACAGTGGTTGTTCTTCTTTTGAAATGTTGAGGCTGTATAGCATGCTTATATATATATATATATATATATATATATATATATATATATATATGAATATGTATATAGTTACATTATTAGAACAATTATTCTCCCAGATTACAGAATATCTCATTTGTACCCATGGGGAGGATTCTCTGGAAGAAACAAAATTAAACTTGTTCAGGATCCATTTTGTTTGTACTATTCCAGTGATGATACAAGAATGATTTGTGTTTGAAGGAATTTAACATAAAAAGGAATGTATCCGACTAGAAGTCCATTGTATTGGAAAATTATAAATATAAATCTCAGAAAAATTGAGGAACAAATTGGGAACAAATTAAGAATCATCATCTAGAGGGGATGTTATGATAATAAACCAAATACCTAATTAATTAGTTGGGAATTACCTGTGTGTTTATCTTTTATATTATCAACCAATATTATTTATTTACAAAATAATTTACCAGGAAATATACATTGATATTTCTCTCATTTTCAATTATGTCCTGGGTCCACAAAACTTGTATTGTTACAATATCAGTGTTTAATCTGAAAACCTGGTAGAGCTATGTTTGTCGAAGTCAAAATACTCACGGCGGAGACATATGGACCATATTTTAGGCATAGAATGTATTAGAATGTAATTGTGTTACATAATATTCTTTCTTCATAAACACACCTTAAATAAGCTGTACACATCTGGATCACTTGGGTACCATACACTTTTCTTCTGGGTCTTGTCCAATATTGATTGGTCTTCCGACTCAATGCAATAATATTCTTCAATATCTTCAATTATGTTCGGGACGCCGTGATTTGTTACCTTAGCTATCCATGATGTTATTTCATTCTTTGGATATTAAAGACAGATATATTTATTTATACGATTTTTCATAGTGAAGCATGTCTTTTATAATGAAAAACAAAGTACCTCTAAAATAATTATTTTAGTCTATTAAAGATAACCAATTTACTTTTAGGAGGTGATTAGCATTAAATGACTCTCCATCAGACTAAACTGGATCTGCAGAAGATAGAGTAGCAAATTTCAAATCAATTAATCTTTCTTTATTGAACTCATAAGGTGAAAAGCTAAGCTTATCACTGCTGGGATTAGATCATGCACCTATGTAAGTAGTACGGGTAATGCTTTATGAAAATAGTAAGATATATTTATAAAAAAAAACTAAACTAGTATAAACTAGTATACAGATAAATGTTAATGTTACTGGAGGAGTTTACAAAAATAATTAACTGTAACATTAACATTTATCTAAATACTAGTTTAAACTAGTTAAGTTTTTTAATTAAAATATTTTGCCATTTTCGTTATTAAGTTGTTTTTAACAAGAACTTATGAAACTGTTTAAATGCTTGGGTAACATGCCTTATTTTAGAAGTTAGGACTCTATTATTTGATTTAATCAGCTCTTCACCACCAAGATATTTTAATTAAAAAATAAATATTAACATTCAAGAAGCATGCAACACAAAACAGCTATTTCATGCATAGACCGCCATTCAGAAAAAAAATCTAAAAACAAGTCATTTTGTAAAGATTTTTTTTCCTATTTTTACTTTTTTACCATTTACTGAAATAATGATGGTATTGTCAAAGTTTTAAAAGTCAAAGAGAATATATTATGTAATAATATTAATAATAATTATATATATATCATTTATAAATAGATTTGCTTGCACTCAGTGTCTTTCAAAGGTAAAAGTTCTATTCTTTATTGAAACATATTAAAACGTGTGTGTCTGGATGTTATATATATATATTTTAATATTTCCACAAATAGCATAGAAGCAGAAATAGCATTTATGTCTGACACAGTTGATGAAAGAAAAAATAGAACATAAAAATAAATGGAAAACATGTTAGTATGTAGTGAAAATGTATACTTATAAAATTGTATATATCTATGTAGTGCAAGTGTTTGAAAATTCTATTTATTATTTTGCAATCTCTGCACACACACACACACTATTTATTTGGATTCTGACTAATTATAATTTTAAGGTTGGCTGGAGAGGTGTCAGTGGGTTATAAAGAAGTAATTTTTTCTCATTGTAAATTGGAAGTAATTGCAAGTTTTAGAAATCTAGAAAGAACTGAATGCAGAGGTATGTATACAGAGAAATTTGCAGACCTCCGACATCTGCTAGTGGATCATCACCAACCAAGGTAAAAGGATCCTATCATGTATAGCTTGGAGGAAAGATGAGACAGGAGGGATATGATAGAAACATCAACACAGTAAAGGAGGAGACTATATTTAAAAGAAGAAAAACTACCACAACAAGAGGAAATAGTCTTGAATTAGAGGGGCAAAGGTTTAAAAATAACATCAGGAAGTATTACTTTACTGAGAGGGTAGTGGATGCATGGAATAGGCTTCCAGCTGAAGTGGTAGAGGTTAACACAGTAAAAGAGTACTATAAGATAAGGCCAGGGACCTAATGAGAGTATTTAGAAAATTGGGCAAACTAGATGGGCCGAATGGTTCTTATCTGCCGTCGCATTCTGTGTTTCTATGCTTTCTTTACAGGAGAAAATCAGGCAGACTGAAGGAAGTCTGTGATTTGGCAATGGGTGTTACAAAGGGTTTTTCAAATTTAATTGCCCAGTGGCTCCCATTGCTACGTTCTGTATCAGTACCATGGACAGGGTTTCTTATATTTGGTATGAAATGTGTCTTTATGTTTCAATTGATGATTAACATGCATTATGTTTACATATCTCACCATTAGTGTAGACATTGTGAGGTGGATCTTTATCTCACCAAGGTGGATGATAGCGTTCTCTCATGAGGCTGGTGAAGCAAAAGTCCTTTATCAACTGACCGGATGGAACACATCGACCCTGATTCCGCTTTTACCTCCAAGTTCACCTTTCGCCCAGGTCGAATTTTCTTTTCTGAGAATTTAAGTTCCACCTGTTCACAATGGTATTGTATCAAGAAAAGAGGAAATACAAGTCAACTAAAATGTGTTCCAAGAAGCTGGCTGATTGTTTTCAAATAAATCACTAATTCCTAATATTCTTTAGTTTTTATAACATCCCCCTGCTTCATTTATACCAATATATTGAAGGTAGCATTTCACCAACCCTCTTTAAAGATACAGTAATATATTCGTATACACATTCTAATGTCTTCTAACATAAATTGGGTCAAGCGGTCAGATGATGATTCACATTCCTTCACTCTGTCCATTCCTCTTTCTCTCCTGTATTTTCAATGCCATTTTCATCTTCTTCTGTCCTTTTACCTTGTTTTTGAAGCATGTTGAGATTGTATATGTTGCCCAATCTGCCGCCACCTCCCCATCCATGAATACAGTGAAAACCAAGAGGGAAATTTCAGGAATCATATCATCTGACACTGGGATCTCAAGGTAGAACGAGCCCTGCAGTACTGGAAATATAAGGGTCATATCAAGTATTCATCACAAGAAGCTATGCATGTAACAAATTATGCACCCTACAGAGTAATAGTTATCAAGCCATTGGTTGGTGATTTCTTCGAAAGCCAGCCATAGATCCAGTTTTGCAGAAAGGTAAATCCCTGTAAAGTCAGTCATACAAAGATGTGGTTCCCTGCAAAGCCAACCATTGATTCAGGTATATAAATATAAACAGTTTGATGTATAGTGCAAATATAGCATACAAGTATAGTTACACCAAGCAAATCAGCTATTGCATCCTAGAAAGAATGCCTGTAGTGTACTCAGTATGGTCTGGGTCCACTCCTCCCTTCTCTGGTTTCTAGAATGTAGTCTGTTTTATAAAGAATGCTCCATAATATATGAAAAGGTCGGCAGTTTTTCAATCACTCTGCATAGAAGCAGAGTTATTGAAAAACTGCCCACCTTTTCCTTTATTAGCTTGTTCTAGCTTTGATAGAAATAGCAATTATTCTGCAGTGTGAAACCAGATCTGGAACAGAAAGGAAGGTAAGTGTGACTTGAGGGTTAAATTGAATTAAAAAAAACATATAAGGACACTCATTGTTTGGAGACAAGGTGTTAATGAGTGATATCCATCCAATTTCCTCAAAAGAAAAATGCTTTTCTCTGACAGAAAATTAATTTATGGAAATGGAATTTCTGTGGATGTAAAACCACTAAGAAAAGAAGCAGATCACATAGCTATCTAACAGCTTGTCCAAACATTTAATTTGTATTCTCCTTGATGAACTTACTTGGTTCATTTTTCTGTTCTAAAACATTTAATTTGTATTCTTCTTGATAATAAATTCTGCCTTTAGCCAGTATCTGAGCAAACAAAAAAAGGAATACATTACTCAACGTAAGACACACAGAAACATATTACATTACAAAAAATGACAAAAAACACCTTTTATTGTGTCCTGAAACATTGCAGAATGTCAATCAATTAATAATAATGAATCAATAAATATCTGTATCTTTAGCCACAGTGATTCATAATTATTAGAATTTAAATCAAACCAGCTCATCCCGTAGCTTCTTACACGTACTTTGACAAATGTTCTTGTATTTTAAATATACAATCCATTAACTTGAGGGAGAATATGAGGAGGAATTAGATAAGACAGTAGAGTTCTCAGTATAGAATGGAAAATAGGAAATTTACCAGCTGAAAGGATGAGAGATACTCAGTAAGGATTCATGAGGATAAAAAGGAAAATTACACCAAACAGTATACAGAACAAGAAGAAAGGAGATTCACCAGGTAAAAGAATGAGAGATGCTCTGTATTAGGATCCAATTCCATCTTGTTAAGGGCATAATTGACTTGAATCAGCTGCTTGGTACCACATTCCAGTTTACTTGCAATAGCTTCGATCTTCAGGAAACTGTTACTCTCAGAGTAGAAGGGATCTAGCCATGTGAATGCATCTATTTTGCTGCCCAGCTCATTACTTTCATCCAACGAAAATTTTCCCTAAAGGAAACAGCATGGTCATGGACAAAGTAAATAAAAATAAAAATATAGATAGAGGATGCAAATGGAAACATAGATAGACAGCAAATTGTTGCACTTAATATTTTTTTAAATTAATTAGTGATTATATTTTCTGTTTAGTGTATGTTTAAATACAATATACAGCTCAGTTTTCTAGAAAAATCACTTTCTAAACTATATGTAGATCCAAATAGTGTTATTGAATATGTGTCATAGTCGTCTATTCACTAAAGTCCTTATTTCCCAAACCGAATGGGGGTAAAACCATTTGTTTGCTTTGAGGTCTTTCAGATTGCAAAATCCAGATATTGGTCATGCTATTCAACAATGTCAAGATTTTGCTAAACGTGCAACATGTGTGCCCAAATTTCTTATGGATTTCAACTATATCAAAAGACATCGGTCTACTGAAATCCAGGCCATGCCTAAAATCTATGTCCAAAAAATCTGACCTATTTGCCCTCTGCAAATGCTAGTGCTGCCCCCTCATTAATATTAATAAAACTGTGCATCTACTAGCTCAGGGTTCTCCAAACTCCAGCACTCCAGATGTTGCTGAACTACAACTCCCATGATTCTCAGCCTATCTATTTAATTCCTAGAATCATGGGATTTGTAGTTCAGCAACATCTGGAGGGCGAGTGTTTGGGGAAGCCTGTACTAGCTGCTCACCATTTGTTAGATGGTGGGTGGGGGCATAAGGGAGGTGTGTAGCTGCACCAATAGTAATATGGGGTCATATTGAAAAACATAAACTTTTTTCCCTTACATTTTACTTTGACGGTTGACTAGCAACATCACATCACGTTGCAGAGGGTTTTTAACAATAGTGTTTTTAATGCTATAATTTGTTTGCAAAAAGCAAGTGAACGATAGTTTGTGAATGTGCGTCCATTATTGGTTGCAAGGGCAAAGAGGAGACCTGCAATTTCTGCATAGTGTAAGACCTCCTGAAAGCTAACCTCACTTTTCTTTTCTAGTACCATATTACCATCTAAGACCAATCTAAACAGTGAATTTTGGATGGAGGAATTCCTTGGATGGAACCACCCCCGCTCTATAGGCTAGCATCAGCAACCCTCCTTCCACCTTCCCCCTGTGCCAACAAGCTTGCTCCTCATCTTTTTCCATGGCCCATGCAGTTATAACTGGTGAATCTGGACAGCTTGTAGGCTACTTACTTACACGTTACACACTGCAGAATATATTGTGTCAGTTATATGTTCCAGTTTTATTTTTAATTAGCCTTGTTTTTTATGTAGTTTTAATAAATACTATGTACAGTTTTTAGCAATGCTTAAAATAATTTCAATATACTCTGAAAGGTCTCGAGATTGATGCCAAACATACATTATAAAGGATGAGTGGAAGCTTGAAAAATTAATACTTTTGACCAAGAAGAAGGATGCACATAGCAAGAGGTATGTTCACTAGCTATAGGGCTTGAGCTCTGCCTGGAGAAAACTGATAATTGGCTTGAGGGGAGATGTTTAATTTATTTGCTTATCATTGTAGTAGAACATTTTCATAATTAAGAATTCCTCCATTCACACTGGGGCCTTACCTGAAGTGTCACCATATCCTCCCATTCTGTGGTGTCGAGTGTAAAATGGGCAATGCCAAATTCGTTGGTTAGAAGTCTCAAATTATAATCTACATCGTTGATGTTCGTTACCAGAAAAACTGTTTCATTTGGCTTCAGTTCTCCATTTCTGTCCTCCACTTTCATCTACATATAGGAATGGTACATGGTCACCACCATTGCATTCCAGGGAGCAATTAATTCTCTAAAACATATTGATTCATTCAATACTGATAGCCTATGGAATTCCTGTCAAGTAAGGTCAGTAGAGGTCAAGTAATGGTTTAGACATGTCACTCTGCAAAATATGTAATTTAATAGGTATTCAATAAACAGTGATTGTTTTAATTTAGCAAATCTAGATTGCATTAAAGTACATTAACCCCTTAAGGACACATGACATGTGTGACATGTCATGATTCCCTTTTATTCCAGAAGTTTGGTCCTTAAGGGGTTAAATGTTCTTTAGGCTTCATGGGCCATTTCACCAAATGGGATCCATTCCACCAAATGGGGAGCATTTCTGTCCCCAGGAGATTAAATGTATAAATATGGATAGAAATTAAGTCTAAACATGTTTTATTATTAAGTGTCCTGCACATTAATCTAACTGTACATTAAAATATATAATTCAAACTCAAAATTGGCGCAGCAATGGGAGGCACATTTACACTGCTCTATCCCTCTAAATAATGGTAACAGATTTTTAAATTACCTAGTCAGTTGTTTTTTGTCAGTGAGCATTGCAAGTACTTGAGAAAGAAGTTTCAATGTTGCCACCAGTTCTGTCCATTATACAATAGGCAGAGACCCTAGCCCATGAAGCACTGCCATACAGGAACATCAGCTGCTTGTGCATGACAATACAAAATCTGAACTGTGAGTGCTTTAATACAAAGCATTCCAGGTTCTGTAATCAATAGATGGCTTCCACAGCTCTCACAGCCACAGACATTTAGTTAGATGGAAAGTACTTAAGTTGTTGGCAAATTGAGTGTGCTGTAGTACGAAGGTGATCTGTACCCTGGTGTCATCACAGATACAAATGAAAGACATGTTGAGGTCCATTTTATGCATAGGTTTGGTGTCAATAGCTTGAACAGACTTCCTTTGGAACTTGTTTAGGAACATTATGTGCATCTCCCACCCAAAAGTGCAGTCACAGTTAGTCACATGAAAATTGAGAAAGAAGTCTTGGCCAAGCTGGAGAAGGCTTCTTAGTAAAGATCAGGCAAGTTTGTTTTCACAAATTTAAAGCAATACTATCTACAACCCTGTTAGATGTAGTTTGTGAAACTGAACCATTTAACATTTTATAGACAAGCAATGCTATTTTTAAATTGTCCTTAGGTATTTAAATGCAGACATCTGAGGACTTACCTTTTGAAGAAGAAGAGGGAGAGAACCCTTACTATACAGGAGCCATATACACCCACTTATGGCATGCAGCAGGGGAAAGAGTGGGAAACACCCACAACCATATCTGGCTCCACTCTTTCTGTCTTCCTTCATCTTTTTCCCTCCTTTCCCTTCTCTTTTTTTCCATGAAGAACTATGAGCACATAGCACACACACACACACACACACACACACAGAGACACACTTATACACATACATGTAAACACACACACATTACTGTTACTCAATGTTCATTGATTTCACTAAATTGCTTGTTTTCTAAAAAAAATAATGCCAAACCACTATGTTTTTCAGTTATGTTTGATTCATCATTTATCAAATTGTTCAATTAATTATATTATAACAAAATTGATAAAGTTTGGGTCTCCTTTAAAATAAAAAATAAAAGTATCAATTAGTTGAACCAGTAACCAACGATTTTTTTAAAATAAACACTTTACAGAGGGAAAAATAAAGAACTTAGTTGACACTCTTTTAAACATGTTTTTAAAAGGCCCATGATGCATCAATCTTCCTCATAGAAACCTTGTGAAAAATGAACTAAAGTTACCTGAGATTGACCGATACACATTTTGAATAGCTTAGCATATGTAAATTTAATTTGGAAGAGTTACAACAAGTAAATGGCACATATTACGTGGATCCTCATTCTATTAGTGCAAGTTTTAAATGTGGATATTTTTCTTAAACAACAAGAAATATTTTGAAAATCTAACTTATGAGGAGCATAGGCCCTATAAAAATATGTTCTTGTAACTTGTAATGTAATTAATCAATCTTTTGACTTAAATAGAGCGATTTGAACAAAATGTGAATTTTAAAGTTGTACCTGGCCAGCTTAGTGCAAACACATCCACCTCAGCCTAACTAAATACACTATCAGGATTATTCGCTAAAGTGAGAATTCCAAGTTAATTGAAAGTGAATTTCAAATTTAAGGTCGAAATAGCCAAAGTGGAAAAATAGTCAGCTATGCTTTCATGAATAACCCTTAGCATATATTGTCCTTTCAATTTTACGCATTTACTTATTTATTTGATATATTTATCTATCTATCTATCTATCTATCTATCTATCTATCTATCTATCTATCCATGAATGCCTGCTCACCATGCCATTGAAGGGTAGTCCTTTCTGGTAATATCTCCTGATATTCACAAATTCAAGCACAAGTTGACTTGCAATAGAGATTTTGGCTGTCGCTTTTTCCTCCTGACCTAGAAGACAACACACAATGTTTCAGCCTACGTATAACAAGAAAACCCCCGTAAACATTGGCTTCACGTTGCGCAATGTGAGAAAGTATCCACAATAACTGCTGTTTATAACTCAATTGTCAGGAGACTTCAATGAGTGAAGAGTTCTTTCTCTGTCTATTACAGATGGTGGTTTAGCACCAGATGGCAATACACTGAAACAAAAAATGGGTATTTTCTCTGAATCACCAGTGTTTTTTTAATCATAGAAACATAGACATAGAAACATAGAATGTGACGGCAGATAAGAACCATTCGGCCCATCTAGTCTGCCCAATTTTCTAAATACTTTCATTACTCCCTAGTCTTATCTTATAGTTAGGATAGCCTTATGCCTATCCCACGCATGCTTAAACTCCTTTACTGTGTTAACCTCTACCACTTCAGCTGGAAGGCTATTCCATGCATCCACTACCCTCTCAGTAAAGTAATACTTCCTGATATTATTTTTAAACCTTTGTCCCTCTAATTTAAGACTATGTCGTCTTGTTGTGGTAGTTTTTCTTCTTTTAAATATAGTCTCCTCCTTTACTGTGTTGAATCCCTTTATATATTTAAATGTTTCTATCATATCCCCCCTTCTTGTCTTTCCTCAAAGCTATACATGTTAAGATCTTTTAACCTTTCCTGGTAAGTTTTATCCTGCAATCCATGAACCAGTTTAGATCCATAGGGTTTTGTTTGTCAGCAAACATTATGTGTACAAATTCAAAGAACATTATCATACATATGTTGGATCAGTAGTAAAAGTTATTTTTAAATTTTTTTTAAAATGCATAAACATGGGGGGGCGTGGCCTGACCGTTCATGAGAACAGACGTGTGAACGTTCAGCTCCGTGAGCGATCCCCGCAAAGCAGCGATTTGACAAGCATCCAAAGAGAGATCACCCCCTTCTCCACAAGCTAAGAAGCTACCAGCATTCCAGCCACCATGGCACAGCGCCTCCCGAAAAGAGCAAAGGCGAAAGAGGCCCCCAACCTACAAATCTCGGCCATGGCCTCCTCTCCCCGTCGCTCACAAGATGGCGCCGAGAGGCCTACATCACCAGCCTCGAGCTCCGGACGGAGCGATATTACGTCGGTCTCCCACAGAGACCTCCCGGCCACGGAATCAGCGATTCAAAAGATGCTCAATGGACTTCAAACGTCCCTACGAGCGGACTTCGCCCAGCTATCAAAAGAAATCAGAGCGGACGTTAAAGCACTGGGTGACCGCACAGACTACTTAGAAAACAAAACTGAAGAAATCATCACAGCACATAATAATGTGGTGACGGCCTTCGACTCCATGGAGACTAAAATCAACATGATACTTACAAAACTTGCCGACCATGAAGACAGAGACAGAAGGAACAATGTCCGCATTAGAGGCATTCCAGAAAGTGTGGGCCCACACGAACTAGGAGCCTACGCGCGCCGGATTTTCCACTTACTGGCCCCAGATCTCACAGAGTCCGCGTTACTATTGGACAGGATCCATAGGCTACCTAGGCCTCAGCACCTACCACCGACAGCTCCCAGAGACACCATCACACGGGTGCATTACTACACCACTAAAGAGGCCATAATGTCGGCCGCTAGAAAACGGCCTAGCCTACCTGAAGAATATAACAAGATTCTATTGTTTACAGATCTCTCAGCCCACACGTTACAAGCCAGAAGAATCCTCGCACCGATCACAAGCGCTTTAAGAGCGGCAGAGATCCCCTACAAGTGGGGCTTCCCAACACGCCTCATCGTCAAACGGAACGGTAATGAAAGACACATCGTGACCCTGGCAGAAGGGAAGAAAGCACTGGCCGACTGGAATATTCCTGTCAACACAGACCCCACAGACGACACGGCTGCAAAATCTGTACCCAGGTCACCATTAAAGATCACCCAAGATTGGGAAACTCGACGCACAGATAAGTGAACCACGCTATATCAGCCTATGCAAACCCGTGCCCAATGGACTAACTCTCACGATATATGCTGTAAAAGTTGCTATGGACTGGTAATACCTAATTACTGTGTTATATATGTTTAGTTCTCCTCGAGCTTTGTGGCATTAGTAGTGGGAGGGTCACAGGTTTTAGGCCCAAGGACCTAGGTCCCCTGCGACACTCTTTTACAAGAGCCCCTCCCTAGCCGTACACCCAAACATGGCACCTAAAAAGGGAATGAATCGAGCGATATCCCCAAACATAGATATCCCACGTGAGGGGGACACCGCACCCTTTTGCCTAACGACCCTCTAGAACCCTGAGACTGTCACATACCCAGGGCAAAACCATAATGTCGCTAGATATGTAAGAGGCCTAGCGGAGCTCATGCACCTCATAGCCCTAATACTACACGTAGTCTCATCCCGAGCCTTTCACACTAGACAGGCTCTTGTCACAGGACAACATGACGATGCTAATACTGTTACGCCCACACCAAGTTTTACCGTGCATTTCTATATTTTTTTCTTCTATATATTTTCAATATTTTTTTTTTTGTATATACTTTTATCTCTTTCTACTGCCACTTGATGTCCCATAACATCTCGTTTGGTTGGTGACCTGTTTCTCACCATAAGCACTTGCTACTGTATATAACATACCAGATACAAAGTATAATTTTGCACATGTATGATATGTAGCCGCCCCTGGTTACACTCTGACACTGACTGAAATGCTGTTTCAGGACCTAGAGGCAAAGGTAAACCGAAGGTTTGGGCTATAGCCCGCTATAGACTGCTAGTTTTGCCACACTGCCACACTGCCGTTAAGACACACGCAAACTAGGGAGATATCTTGATTTCTCTATAGGGAATGTTCTCTCACACCGCATATGGGGATCCTCCAACCCCCATAAGGGCTTCAATGCCCAATAACACCGGTAGTATCAGGTCTCACAGCAGAGACCTTTTTAATGTACATAGTTGGTTTGATTTTCCCAGTTACTTCCCTTACCCCCCGTCCTTACCTCCCCGCAAGGGGATCGCGTACCACCACAACAAAAATTTCAAGGATTCTTCCACATGGCACAGGTCATCCCACTCATGCCCTCTAGAGATCCAGCGAGTTACGTATTGGTTGGATAATGCTACGATACCCAAACCCCAGGACCAGCCACCTACCATCTCCTCTCTCCCACCATTCACGATAGTCCAGCAACTCACTCTAGGATCCCACATCAACACACCATGACACTTAACATTCTATCTATAAACGCCAAAGGGTTGAACACACCACACAAAAGACGTATGGCCCTTTTAGAAGCAAAGAAACAGAAAGCTCATATAGCATTTTATCAGGAAACCCATTTTCAAACATCCAACCAACCCAAATTCTTCTCCAGACACTTCCCCACAAACTACCACAGCACATACAAGACAAAAAAACGAGGCGTCTCTATCCTAGTTAGTAAAGACGTGACATTCCAACTAGTGAAAAAAATAGGCGACAAAAAAGGCCGGTACCTCCTACTTCAATGCATTATTAATAACGCACAATATACCTTAATCAATCTCTACGGACCACACACTGACTGCCACACCTTTATTGAACACATCTTAGTTTTGGCATCTGCTTATCAATTCGGGCAGGTTATTATAGGGGGAGACACAAATTTCATTCTAGACCAAACTTTAGACACCACTTCCTCCACCAAAATTTCGCGACAAACAATGAACCAAAGAACGCGCTCCATATCCCTCCTAGACAAAACGCTACGTACACACGACTATAATGACGCATGGAGAACCCTTCATCCTCTAGACAGGGACTTTACGCATTGCTCCCAAGTTCATGACACATATTCCAGAACAGACCGCTTCCTTATCCCCTCGACTCTAATTCCGACATTAGTCAAAGCGGACATAGGTATTATTACATGGTCGGACCACGACCCGATTACATTATCCCTAGCAACACAATACCCCATTTCTGGGACTCGCACATGGCGCCTCAATGACTACCTCTTAAAAGACGAGGAACTGGTAGCACAAATCAAAAAAGAACTCCATTCATATTTTGTATTAAACGATACAGAAGGGATGAATATAGATACTCTGTGGCAAGCACACAAAGCCGTCCTTAGAGGGCAGTTCATTAAACACGCTAGCTACAACAACAAAAAGAGAACCAAACGCTATGTAGATACACATAAAGAACTAGCCACACTCACACACACAAACAAGACAAGCCCATCTCACACTACCACCACACGGATACGTGAACTACAGTCTACCTTGAAAGATATAGAGATGGAGAAAACGACCTACCTCTTAACGAAGTTGAAACATAAATTTTTCCATACCGGAAACAGGGCAGGGAAAACTCTGGCAGCGCAACTTAAAGCAAGATCCCAATCGTCGAAAATCGCCTTCCTTATTTCGAACCAAGGCAAGAAAATCATAGACCCTCAAGAAATAGTAGACGAGTTTAGCCAATATTATAGCGGCCTATATAACCTAGCAAAGTCACAAGACAGTCCCCCCCCTAAGCAAATGGATATAGACCAATTTCTGCAGGATATTGAATTGGCATCCCTCACCCCAGATGAATGTCATGCCCTAATTCAACCCTTCTCAGACCAGGAAATAATTGATACCCTCGACCAACTACCAAAGCACAAATCCCCAGGCCCAGATGGCTTTACAAACCTATATTATTATACATTTCGGGACACCCTTGTACCATACATGAAATCATTCTTCACCCGATGTTTCCAAACGGGCTCCATGCCTGCAGCAATGCTACAAGCCCACATTTCGACCTTACCAAAACCTGGGAAACCACCGACTCAGTGCTCCAATTTCCGACCTATATCTTTGCTAAACTGCGACACTAAAATATATGCCAAATTGTTAGCTAACAGGATAAGCCCGATATTAACCCGCATCATACACAACGATCAGACAGGCTTTGTTAAAGGCAGGCAAGGATCCGACAATACCAGAAAAATCCTAAACATTCTATCTCACATTGCGGACCAAAGAACTGAAAGCATATTGTTGGCCTTAGACGCTGAAAAAGCCTTTGATCGACTTAACTGGGCTTATATGGTATCAGTATTAAACAAATATGGTTTCCCACAAGAAATGACCCGAGGTATTCTGGCACTATATAAATCACCAACCGCACGAGTGTCTAGCTCGGGCTTCACCTCCCGTCCTTTCGCTCTCTCTAATGGCACCAGGCAAGGATGCCCCCTTTCCCCTCTTTTATTCATCCTCGCCCTAGAACCTTTAGCGCATAAAATTAGAAACGACCCTTTGATATCAGGTATAGACATAGGCTCCTCGACTTTTAAACTATCAATGTTCGCAGATGACATTTTATTGACAGTGGGAAATCCGACGTATACAATTCCTAGCCTCCTCTCCCTCCTCCACGATTATGGTAAAATATCGTACTATAAACTTAATAACACCAAGACACAAGCACTACCCCTCCACATACCAAACACACAAGTCAACCTGCTCCGACAATCCTTTCGATTTGATTGGAGACAGGACTCTATTACATATTTAGGAGTAAAACTGGCGTTACACCCCCATAGAACGTTGTCAATGAACTATGGGCTGATTTCACAGACTTGTAAATCACTATGCAATCACTGGAAACATGTACCCTTATCATGGTTAGGACGGATAAACACCGTGAAAATGGTGCTGTTACCAAAAATCCTCTACGTATTTCGAATGCTCCCGATACAAGTACCCCCACAGACTCTCAAGAATATCCAAACTATAATTGCTAGATTCATTTGGAACAAAACTAAACCGCGTTTACATGTATCCATACTGCAGCAGCTCCAATCTAGAGGTGGTTTAGGGGTGCCCAAGTTAACCACGTATTATGAAGCTGCCATTCTAGACTCCGCTATTCGATATCACGCTCCGAAACACACGTTCCAATGGGCTGATATGGAATCCGATAGATCCAAACCGCACTCCCTACTCCACGCCATGTAGTCCCCTAAGATCCATCGACCACCGAAATTGTCACTATACCCCACCTCTGCATTGATGCTTAAATACTGGGACAGGCTAATGGCTACTATAACCGAAAAAGGGAAATTCTGCCTACAGGCCCCGATTGAAGCTTTGACCAGACTGACACCTTGGTTGTCCTTAAAGACCTGGACCAAGTATGGAGTGAAACTTATCCAAGACATATGCACACAAAAAGGAATCAAGCCATTCCCAGCCCTGCAAACACAATATAACATACCTAACTCTTGTATCTTTCAATACCTACAGGTAAAAAGTGTCATCTCCACTCACGTAACCTTGAATCCCCAGATCCAACCATATAGATTAACAGACATGACAGAGATCTTTTCCAGATGCCATACATCTCCACTAAAACCCAAAGCCCTGTCGCTATGCTATAGGACCACACTTGACTATAATACCCCCCGCTCATTCTCCTATGTACAAAAATGGGAAAAAGAGGGAATACCTACACTCACGGACTCACACTGGCTTTCGGCGCTCACTGCTCTCTCAGGCCTCACCTCTTGTTTCTCACATGTGGAAGCACATAAAAAAGTGTTATACAGATGGTACCTCACGCCCCAAAGGCTTCACCAAATATACCCCAACACAAACTCAACATGCTGGAGATGCTTGTCACACACAGGCACCATGATGCACGTATGGTGGGAGTGTAAAGAGATTTCACCACTCTGGTCACAGGTTCACTCACTTCTGCAACGACTACTCCATCTTCAAGAACCCATATCGCCGACACTAACACTCCTACTGATCTTCCCTACACAATGGAAGAAAGCAGACAAAAAGATAGCATCCTTAATAATTCTAGCGGCGCGACATCTCATAGCCCAAAACTGGAAAACCACCAGTTGCCCTTCCCGAAAAGACCTACTTGATAGGATAACTCTTTATTACAAATTTGAGCTTTTAGCTTCCACCTCCCACGAGCTCACTGCACAGATTATTAAGATCTGGAAGCCATTCGTAAAACTGGCTCACCAAACCTCTTGATAGATGATAATAACCTAAGGCTTCCAAGGTATAACAAGTTTAATTGGTATAAAACGGAGATGTAGGGTGACTTCTTTTAGAGCTGGACATATGTGGGAACACTATTGCTCTACTAACATGTTATAGTGCCTTATACTATTTGTAATACCTTACACTATTTGTGTTACCTTATACTAGTTGTATTGCCTTGTACTATTCGTATTGCCTTATACTATTTGTATAACTTTGTTATTGACATGTATAAATCGATTACCTTGAATGTACCGATTCCCCCCCCCCCACACCCTCTTCTTTATTCTGTACCCTTCTACCCCCACCCTCTTGTTAATATCTGAAAACTCGAATCTTCAAATTCGGGAAATAAAAATTTTCAATTGAAAAAAAAAAATGCATAAACATGTAAAACACTAGGTGGTAACAGAATATAGAAAGAATACTAAACCTGTGAAATGATTATATGAGACAAGTTCTACTTTGTATTTGACCAGATTTGATAATTGAAAGCTTTTTTTTTTGTCTTTTTTTGGCATAACATTTAACATTTATTTCACGTAACTGTTTACACCAATTGAAGATTTCAATTAAAAACACAACTTTGATATTGTCAATTTTGTCTTTAGTACCAAAGAATAAAGAGTCTTAGTGCTGGTTTCTTATTCCTGACACAAGTGTATATGTTTCAGTCTCCTGCGGAATTCTTATGAATATCAGGTTCAGGTAAAACCGATGACATTTACATCGCACATTAGTGCCCTAGGCTTTCAGCTAGTTCTTATTCTTCCGTTGACGTCTTTACACCTTCTATGGCCAATACCCTTAAACATCTTTAGCTGGTCATGCACAAAAGATGCAGAAGGACCTTTATTGTATAGCTATGTGTTGAGTACAGTTTGTTTAACACTGTATTGTGTATTTCACTATATGGTACATTTTGTTATAACTATATATGTACTATATTTAGCAAGTACTTTTTATTTTATTTCTGAGAAAGTTGAAGGAAGTGTTTCTTCTAACCTGACATCTTTAATGGAACTTCTTATAATGGTTGATAATACACATTCTACTTTATTAAAGGATTCTCACCTGTAATGAATTCTGATAAAACACATGAAATTTCTAAGTATTGCTCAAATTCTGGGTTTGAAAGATTGAAAAAGTGAAGATCAATATTTTTGGAGATGCAGCCTCTGCTATTAGTCTGTGAAAAAATAAAAAATAAAAGCATTTGGTGGAATGTAATATAATAAGAATGAAGAATTGAGAATAAGTTAGACTTTAACTATGCTCTTAGAACAAAGCAGTTCCCACACAAATCTATTCATACCATGTATAATCTCACTCTGTTTTTCAATTTTAATAGGTTTATTCAGTAAACACTAAAATGCAGTAAATTGAAAATGAAATTTAGACTAAAATAACCAGGATGTAGCTGAGTTGGATACATTTCCCTAAATGTCGCTTTTGGTTTTTCACCTAACTATAATTCAGTGTTTTGCAGCTGGATTCCAAGGTTGGAATGTTAGAGGCAACGGCCATTAGTTTGTTGAACGCTGGCTTCTCCTGTTGTAAACAATAAAAGGTATATTTCACTAAATTGGAGGACTGCCGACACAATGTGCTATTTTATTGTAATTTATTGGTTTTGCAGACCTATTTATTTCCTGCAAGCAACCCACGTTCAGATCCACAAACAAACACACAGCGTATTCTGGTATTTAAAACAGGGACCGAAAAGATGTGTAACTTGACTTATAATTCAATACTGAGCTGATACATTTACTATAGCACAGGGGTCACCAAAAGTTAGATGTTTTAAAACTACAGTTTGAATGATGGTTTGTCATTGTAAAGGCATTCTAAATCCATGCAAAGCACCATGGGAGTTGTAGTTCTGAAACATCTGAGGTTTTATTCACCAATAAGTGACCCACAGAATGAAAATTGGCTTAAAGAGTTAAAAACATAATTTATCCACTAGATGTCAGTAAAGGATAACATTACAATAAACTACATGTGTCTGTGATGTTCAATTTACAGGTGATACTCGAAAAAATTAGAATATCATGCAAAAGTTCATTTATTTCAGTAATGCAACGTGAAAGTGGAAACTAATATATGAGATAGACGCATTACATGCAAAGCAAGATAGTTCAAGCCGTGATTTGTCATAAGTGCGATGATTATGGCTTACAGCTCATGAGTCGAATGCTGGCTATACTTACTTTTCGTGGGTCCTTCGTGCGGTCTAAACTACTGACACTTGTTCTGGTGTAAATTTCATTAAAATTCTTGTCTACCGTTCATACAAACGAACTATGTACATGTATACTTACCCGTTAGTTCATTTAGCGGTTTGTGCAATTTTCACATACTTACCCGTTCGTGTACTTCTGCTGTTCATGTGGAATTAGTCGAATGCAGATGATACTTAAGCTTCAGTGGGTTCCCTGTGCGATCTCAACTGCCGAACCCTGTTCTTGCAATTATCAGCTTTCGTTCGTACGAACTAAACGAACATATATATATATATACTTACCCGTTCGGTTACTTATCTGCTTGTATTAAATCTGTCGAAATTAGTTAAAAATCTGTTTATTACTGTAACCATTTACTACTACTGTGGTTCTTGGTTTAATTATGTTTAAAAATATAAGATCCTCAGATGTATGACATTTTCTCAGAACTCGGTTAATGCATTCCGAGGCCTTTTTTGAGTTAACCCTCTGTGTTTTAAGTTGTGTTAAATACTTAATAAATTCTTCTGACACCCAACTACATTGGCTGAGTTTTCCAACTCCACGCCAACCCCGTACGCCTCACAGAACATATATATTAATATGTAGCACGGTCCTCTGGGGGAATTTCCAAACCCTACATTTCATATTTTTCTCTATTTCTCTATAGCTTATGCAGACATTAATCTTAGCTCTGTTACATTTCTTTGGTCTCCACAGATTGTCCGTTTGCCTTGTATTACTGCATAAGTTGTCAAATCCAAGTTCTTGTATTTACAATCCAGGTATAATATTTACTCACTTCAGTTTCAATCATGTCAAGGCCTCAGACAGCCTTCAATCTAAACTTGTCACAATCGTACGGCCCCTCTACTCTCGTATCATTATGTCCAGTTAACCCGGTCCTCTGGGGGAATTTGTTAATTAATATATACTGTTATACCCACTTCTTTTCTAATAATTGTACGATGGTCCCTAGCTCCAACATTATTCTAGGCTTCCTCCGATTTTCTCCATACAAACCACTTACACTCATCCAAGTACCTGTACAACAAATCAAAGTATAGTACTCTACTCATTACGGGGCTCTCACACTAGACCTGACGCGGTCTCTACTTATCACGATTATCACACGGTCCTACTTCCTTTCTGTGTTTAAATTCTCTACATTTTTACTTAGGCCTACGTTCATACTGCCATCAGACAAGAACCTACTCAACCTACCTAACCTGGTACCCCACTCCATTACCAGGTATTTGCGTTCTTACTTGTTACTAGTACTTGCTACCCCTAAGGCCTCAATCAGCCTCCCTCTATAGCATAATAATGTTAGTACTTTAGAGTAACCACTAGGGGCAGTATGTATGATTCATTTCCACCATATGGTTTCCTTGTAGCTTATTTCTGACAGTGACACCATAGGCCAGCCTACTCTATGGAAGCATCCCACTGGGATATATAAAAAGGTGAGTTAAGAGACAGTCAGACCTTGCTCCAGGATGTAACAAAGAATATCAGTTAGCTACTAAGCCCCCATCCTTGGGCTGGGTGTGGGGGTATTCTGTAAATGATTCATTTATGTATTGTGTTGTTTAAGTAATTCACTGTTACTTAGTTTGTTGTAGTCTAATATTTATATACTGTCTTGTTTATTTTACATTTGACAATAATAGGAAGAGATATAAAACATATTAATGTTGTAACTTATTGCTTACTTATAGTATATTATTTAACAAATTCATATTCATATTTAGGCCTCAGCCACAACATCTTCTAATAGCATTACCAAACTGAAAGGAATATATATATATATATATATATATATACTAACAAATACAAATGAAGATCAAAGGAAATAAAAAAAGACAATCTGATAACAGTAAAAACACAAGATATTGTTTTCTAACATATGTTGCATATTGTAGCTTGCTCTCCTGTTATCACCTTCAGGGTCAGTCATTAAAGTGAAACATTTTAAAAATTCTAAGTGAATTTCAAATTTAAAGCCAAAATGAAAAATTCTCCAAGTCAATTAATCTTTTTTACTCAGCTACTTTGAAATTCACTTGAATTCACTTTGCCTTCTGGTTTTGATAAATAACCTCTTCTTTACTTAATACTTTCCAAGGTATGGACTCTCCTTAAGCTTAAAGGGTAATCCAGACGTGGCCCCTATGCTCATTATGCCAAGAGGAGTATCAGCTAAGAAATGACCAGCTGTGGTTGCTGTATCTCTCTTCCACACAGAATTTGCCAGCATTTCAGTTCTGGATTGCCCTTATGGGTGAGATAAGTCTGATGTGCAATGGTTTAGGTTCTCTTTGTAATGCCACAGGTGAGCAAAAACATTTTTGGGACCTGAGCGGGGACTAACCGAAGAGGAAGCTATTGAGTTTCTCACAGCTTTTTCCCCTTCTCAAAGTTCTCATATTCTCTATTTTTGTTACTTTCCAAGATATATCTATCGTTCATTTAGTTATAAAGTTATATATTGCAAATATAGACTATATATTTCATTACTTAGTGAGAAGGCGATACATAAGATAATTACATAGCAATATAGGTTAAAAAAGCCTCAAAGAAAGAATCAGAAGGGATTAGTCCTATCTATTATATCACCAAAAAATCGATTTCAAGAGGTTGAATATATGGGCTCCATATAATGTGAGTGTAACTGGATATCTTATTATTAATTTCTATAAGGATTTATGGAATTATGCTGCTAGTATACTTCCTCTCATTTCTTTGTTCATGGTCCTTGAAGTCAAATACAAGTTGTGCTTCTTAGTAGAATACTGAACACCAGAAGCCCCAAAGCCAGATTAGAGGAAAAAACACAAAAAGCAATAGAGAAAAATAAATCTATATTTTTATACTTTTTAAAAAATAAATATATAATATGGAAATATAGATTGTTTTCCTAATTTTTGCCTCTGTTGGTCAATTTTCACTTGTAAAATCAAATGTAAATAGCACCAAATGTCTGTGAGATAGCTCAGTGGGCTAATGAATCATCAGAAGGACTTGTTCAACCCTTGAGTCACAGGTTTGAATCCTGGCAGTGTTGATTCATCCTTCTGAGGTTGCTAAAATGAGTTCCATTAAATTGGGTAATAGTAACAACTCCTGGATGTACCTGAGAACCAGAGTGATCTGAATGTGCCTTTTTATGGTTAAATACTGCGTTATTATTATTTAGTAGATATCCCTTGGCCATCAATCACTTTTTTCCTTCAAACTTTTTTTTTGGTTACAGACAGAACTTTGAATCACAGATAGAACTTTGAATCACTAAATAAATGAAATGGCTCATTGTCTATTTCATTTTGCTTTATGATTCAACCATTTGGCATTCTGGAGTTTGGAAGTTCGGATGAGTCACGATTGCCCAAAATTCTGTCATATCGCTATTCAGGAAAACCAGAATTCACAAATCTAATAATCATATTGATAATATCAATTAAAGAACACAGCTTACACTGTGATACATTTAATGATGATATTCTTCCTTTAGAGGTATAATTGTTATTATTGCACTGGTTGTTTTCCTTTAACCTTTTTGATCAACAGCAGAAACAGGAATGCATGAAAGATTATAGTTAAATTATAACATTTTGGTATGTAATAGAGCTTGTTCAATATTGTCACATTAATAAACTCAATATTTTAAAGAGGTGTTTTCTTTGGATTCTTTTGGATTGATAATCATTATCAATAATCATTTCAAACAATTAAATGCCACTTTCACCTCTTCTCCTAGTATCGCTTGACAGTTTTCAGAATCTGTTTCCTCTTCATTTTCAGCAAAATAATCTGGCCACGAGTTTGTTGTTTGCAGACAGACATTTATGTTAAACAAGCCCAGGACTGGCTTTCCATAGTTGTACCTGGAAATATGAGAAGAGTACAGACAATGGCCTTGTGATGTGTTTATGGTGGACACCTGATGTCCAGTAGCGGTAATATATCTTTGTTTATGATACAGGCTCCAGATGTTGTGGATTACACCTCCCCTGATGTTTTGCAGCATTTTGCCTGTAGAAGCATTAAGAAAGATGTAGTCCACAACTACTGATATGTTGATAGTTGATATGGCTAATAGCTGAAGACTTGTTGGGGATGACATGGCTGTAAGTGAAAATTCTAAAAGACCGAAACTTCTGAGGATCTTACCTTCCACAAGCTTCCAAAGTAAATTGTTTGTCTGTCTGGGCAACCGTGGACGGCAAGTTAATATTGACCTCAAATCTCTTCAAAACTAAAGGAGATAAAGGGAGAATAATGTTTATTCCATATATACTAGATATGTGCACAATCCCGGTCTTGTTTTAAAAACAATGTTTTCGATATAAAAGACAAAAACAAGGAGATCAGGGTGCCACAGTCACTACTGTGCTCTTATAATTACCAACTTAGATGAAAAATCCTCATGAAAGAGAAACGAAAACATATATCATATATATCATATAAGTGTCACTTCTGCATGTGAGTGTATTTATTTGTATATGTATGAATTCTTTGTTAATTAAATGTTACACTATGATATATGTTTTCTTTTCTCTTTCATGAGGATTTATCATCTAAGTTGGTAATTATAAGAGCACAGTAGTGACTGTGGCGCCCTGGTCTCCTTGTTTTGTCTTTTACGTATTGTTTAGAATGTTGGGGAGTGACCCTTTATTCAGCCTGCACATATCTGCACTTCAACCTACACTCACTGATCTTTGTTAATGTTTTAGCTGTAGCTGATTAATTCATCCAGAAAACTCACTAACAATGTTTACTAATAAGGTGAATAAATGGCCAATGTCACAAACAGATATAAGATAATTCCTCTTTGTTAGGATTAGAATTAGGGGAAAACATCCTCTATGCTTAGCTTGTCACTTACCATATTCCGATACTGAAAATGATTTGACAGACAGAGTAGGTATAGAAATCTTGTATTGTCCAAGTGGAAGCTCTTCTGCCAAAGGGAAGGTAAAATCTGCAATTCCGTCAACAGGTGAGATGTTCAGCCACTGACCTATTCGGTTTCTATTTGGGTCCTGTGAACAGAAGAGAAAAATGTTGTTTGTTAATCTATTCAATTCTATTAAAAATATTTGTTTTGTTTGTTTGCTTCCATTAGCTCATGTGAGCCTCATTTGCTGACACTCTCAGCCAACGAGTAAAGCCAGCATTGGCTCAGAGCAGCAAACCTCTGTCTTTCAATGGAGGAGGTGGCTGGCGCCCGACATGCCTCATTGGGAGGGGGTTAAACTAAAATAATAACTGCATTACTTTGCTTCAAGCAATGTGGCAGGTATTACCAAAGGAAAAGAAAGAAACGTTTTGGTGTGAACATCTTCACTTTATTTTTCATTACCTTTTTGATTATAAGAGTGAAAAAACAGATAATCTACAAAACAGCTCCCTATTGCTATAAATGAGATAAAATAAAATGTATAAAATTATATTATTTATTGAAAGAAATGTAACTAACTAATTTGTGGAAAAGGCACATAGATTATAGATTTAACAGTCACAAAATATAAGTGAAAGCTATTGGATAAATATGTGTAATTCTTACCAGCAGCTCTACCAGAGGATACTGAAAAAGAAAAAAAACACACATAATAAATGTTATTTTCATTGTACATATAAAACAACAAAAGTCTCATGTTATATTAGTACCGGATGCAGTTCTGCAGGAATGAAATTAATCTACTATACTATACACTTTAAAGCATGGTAATTTAATTAGCTCCTTTGACTTCCAATATCAATTCTATGTGGATGACATGCAAATCTATCTGTCCTCTCCTGATCTCTCCCGTCCCTCTTGACTAGTGTCTCTGACTGCCTCTCTGCTATTTCTAACCGGATGGCTGCTCACTTCCTTAAACTCAACTTGACCAACTTGTCGGAGCCTAGGTGTTCTCTTTGACTCCGACCTCTCCTTTACGCCTAATGTTCAGTCTATCGCTCTTCGGACTCTACTTAAAGCCAGATGCGACTAAGGTGCTGGTCTATTCCACTGTCCTTTCTCGCCTTGACTACTGTAATCCGCTCATCAGTGGTCTTGCGTGCTCCCAACATGCGCCATTACAGTCCATAATGAATACGGCGGCGAGGCTCATCTTCCTGTCTGCCTGCACTGCCCATGCTTCACCTTTCTGTCAGTCCCTACACTGGTCTCCTGTAAGATATAGAGCTCAATTTAAAATTCTGGTTCTTGCTTTCAAATCTCTACATAATGCTGCTTCCACCTGTCTATCCTCCCTAATACACAAGTATGTCCCATATAGGCCCTTACGTTCTGCTGAAGACTTATGTCTATCTTCTGTCCGTACTCCCACCTCGCCTTCAAGACTTCTCGAGGGCTGCACCGTTCCTGTGGAACTCACTTCCCTCCTCCGTTAGATGCTCACCTAGTCTCCACTCCTTCAAAAAATCATTAAAAACCCACTTCTTCATAAAAGCGTATCAATTAAACTGTTATAGCTCCCGACTGATTCTTCTCTTGCAACTGTCATTAGTCTAATACCATCCTTACCTTTTGTGTCACTTTACCCCACTCCCTCTAGCATGTAAGCTCATTGAGCAGGGCCCTCAACCCCTCTGTTCCTGTGTGTCCAACTTGTCTGGTTACAACTATATGTTTGTTCGTCCACCCACTGTAAAGCGCTGCGGAATTTATTGGCGCTATATAAATAATAACATAATAATAATAATGAATTACAATCTGTAAACAAAACATAAGGTTTTCGGGTCAGTACATGCAACAGTTTTCATAGCAGTCACAATTCAAATTTCACAAATATTTGCTTCCACAGATAACATTTAAAGAAATGTTTTTGAAAAAAAAATGATACAGGAGTTCGATAAACCAATATTGCAAGTTAAGAGACAAAAAATTAAAATATTTTAGTATATTTCCATTACATCACAGGTTGAAAGTAGAAGAAACAGGCAAGTGCATTGATTTGCTAATAGCTGATGGGTGTGCTATTAACATTAAATTACATGGAGACATTATGAGCTAACACTCATTTTATGGAATTTATTCGTTTTTAGAAACATTATTTTTCAAATTCTTTGCAAAGTTGAATGGCCCTATTTGATGGCCCTATTGAAGTGCTGATTTGAACGCCTGTTCTGCAGAATTGGGAACGTTTAGCGTGGGGGAGATATTACCTAATGTAGTATAAATATTTAAAGGAATTTTTTAACTTGCCATTTCTTGAGTACAGTACTTGTTCTATGATTGCCTATCTGGGGCATTCAAATGTTATGCCAAATCCCTGTTATGCCAAAAGAGCAGTGTTGGGAAATGTTTCCACTTTGTTTATTTTGTTCTAAAATCAGCAATTTCCTATAGAATTCATATTACGTGAACAGCCATGAGAGTGTTTCTGCTAGAACAGGTAGAAGACTGTGTTCTTTTCAAGAATTTATGCAACATTACTTCTAGCTGACTGCTGCCATGAACTGAACTGTGTGGCACAAAATGCTTTCTGCTGAATGTGATCATTCCAACCTACCCAACATACATTCTCAAACATTTTAGCATAAGGTTCCATAACATGTTTAGAAAAGTGTAATGACTACTAATTGTGTTTATTGAATGCTGCTTTGCTGGCTGATTTTTTTTATCATCTACAAATAAACTGAATTTGTACTCACTGAGGTTATTGTTACCGTGTTCTCTGTCTGCTTATCAAGTATCATTATTTTCTGCTCATGGTTTTTTTGTGTCGCTCTTTATTTTAATTTTCAGATTTTATAAAATACAAAAAAGCTAAAAATAAAAATAGTGTGGTGGAAAAAACAGGGTAGTGTCAAACATGATATGCAGATAAAGGACAATAGACATCTCTCTGAGGCTATGTTTGATATTGTTGAGTCTCAAAAAAAAAAAAGAGTAAATTGAGCATGAGAGCATTTGGGTTGGTCTGCTACGGAGCTTTGCTAAAACATGCCTTCTCGGGTCAATTTCTTGCTCTACTTATTAGATTTGTTTTTTAAAACTATTAGAAATGTCAACACATTTATATAGAACCAACATATTCTGCAGAGATTAACAATTTTAGACATGAAGAAGGAACTGCTCAAATGAGCTTCAAACCTCTGAGGTAGGTGGATAATATATTGCTAGGTGTCTTGCCCAGGGACATCTGCTTGTGAGCTGGTCCAGCTGGTACTTGAACCACTGTTTCCATGTTCTAATGAAGTGTGCTGATTTAACTTGTATTATAGTCCATTTTGGACATTTTCTCAGTCATATGCATTGTAAGTGGCAGTAATTGTACTATGGATTTAACATTTAGTAAAGCTATATGATTTAAATTAATGACAAATATGACAGGTGCTCTAAAGGTTTTAAATGCTTCTGAAGATATACATATTACATTAAGCACAGTTTAACACTACAGTGATTATTTTGTAAATGTGTGTGCTTAAAGGGACACTATAGTCACCACAACAACTACAGCGTATTGTAATTGTTCTGGTGAGTATAGATAGTCCCTGCAGGCTTTTTTAATGTAAACACAGCCTTTTTGTAGAAAAAACATTATTTATAATTCAGCCTAGGAACACCTCCAGTGGCCATTACTCAGACGGTTACTAGAGGTGCTTCCTGGGTTAGTGCTGTAATGTTCAGTGTCTCCACGCTCTGAATGGAGACGCTGCACTTTCTCCATAGAGATGCATTGGTTCAGACATGAGGAGATCTGCGTTGCGCTGAAATAATTTGAGTAAATCACCTTTCTAATCCGAGGCAACAGGGTGCCAATGGTGCTTTTAGAACTATAGTGTGAGGAATACATGTTTATGTTACTGGTCTTATAGTGCCCCTTTTAAGTTCCTTAATGTTACTGAAAGTTCAACTCATCAGGTGCCACATTTAAGTCACTAATTTATATATGAAAAAACAGGAGTAGGTGATTGCGCAGGTAGCTTATAAGTCCACAAGTTTGTGGTACGTCCCTAGGTTCTGTAGAAATAAACAAACTTGTGGACTTATAAGCTACCTGCGCAATCACCTTCTCCTGTTTTTTCATTTGTATATGTAAGTATATGTAGTGACTATACACTAAGGTGTTTTTGCTGCATGCTATAATAGTAGCATGTTTTTCTATTAGCGCCACCTTTCTCCTTTTCTACTTCTGTATACTAATTTATATATAAATACATGGATTTGCATCTTGTGGTGTTGGCACGTTTGCATCAATTTACATTAGTATCTTGGCCAATTAAATGCCTTATATGTTCTGATATATGACCAGCCCTTTTCATGAATCCGTTACTTAGTGTAATTAAGCAAAAAACAGGCTACTTGTTCAGCAAATAGTCTTACCTTTTCTTCACTGGCAGAGAAATTTTTATCCAGAGTTACAACACGGAAATTCACTGTTATAAAACAAAACACAGATTACTAAAGTTGCTATTCTTCCTGTCAGAGTAATATTAACCATACAGTAGGTTGTATAATATACACTGCATGTCCTAAAATAACCCAGATTGCCAGATTCCATTTATTGAGTTATCAAATATTCCCCTGTTCCACTGGCTTTATTCCCATTCCACTATGGTATCAGACAATTTGAGATCCATGCCACAGGAGAGATTAAGGAGGATGCACGGCAGCCTGAATATCACTAGAGTTAAAGTAGCAGTCTATGTGTTCAGTTGAAGGTTGTACCTGTCTTTCCTGGCTTGTATAGAGGTGGTCAATTTGGAAGAAGGTTCTACATGTTCTGATTAGTACAGGAGTATGTCACTTTGGATGGAGGTCCTACCTGTCTGTCCTGATTAGTAAAGGGGTCTAGATACTTATTTGATTGTAGACCTTACCTGTCTGCCCTGGTTTGTACAGGGGTTTATCAGTTTGGACAAAAGTCACATGGTTTGTTTTACTTATTAGAATCTTCTTGGTCTGGTTAATATTAATGTCCTCTCCTTGAGCTAACAGATGGAAAAACCAAACCTGCTTCTCTTCCACAACAGGGACCTAGTAAGAAACAGAAGGCAATTCTAGTTCTAATTTCCTCCAATATATTTTACAAATAGACATGTACACACACTTTAGCTTAATGATAATCCTCATTTTATGATACTACAGTATATCCTTAGACGTTTGAGAAGATTATATGATCCTTTTTCGGTAGCTGTAGATATGAAGTAAATAGTCATTAAATTACCCACCATATACCTCAACACCTAAAATGTCTGTGCCACAACCACACACTTAATAATCCAAAATCACATTAAACATGTAAAAAGCTCATAAAATGGTAGAAATAGGAATCACTATATTCTTTCATTTTTCTTTTTACAAATAAATGCTTTGGAAAGCTTAAAACTGGTCTCAAAATGTGACACACCATATAGCTAATAAATTAAATTATAAGTGTTCCAGTAGCTTTCACACCTTCATACTGCAGAACTCACCTGAAACTCATAGCACTGTGAATAGTTAGGGCCCCTTATTTTATCCTTAGCCACCAGATGAACTTGGTCACCTCTTTGGATCTCCATTTGAATGTTTAATGCACCCCTCAAGGAAAGAAATATCACACAGGCTCTCTCGATGGAGGAATGAAGCATTTGGGCTGGAACAGTGATCACATAATGGCTGCCAGATACAAAAAAAGTCATAATACAAAATGATTTTAAGATGAAACAATATCATTTGTATAGGGGTTATATATAAAGAGTCACTTTAAAAAGATTTCAGGGTCAAAATTCAGAATAAAGAGGGAGGCTTCAGGCTGGGGTAAATGGAAGCTGTACTGACTGAAAGAAAACTAACAGGGAGTAGGATGGAGTGTAAGAAAAACATGGAGTTCTGTTTTGGAAAGTTTAAGTTTCAACATGTCTGCTCATTTCTAATTAATGTCAACACTACAGCACTCTTATCCAAGTTCTTTCTAAAGATTAGTGATGCAGTCATCAATAAGTAAATGGAGTCATAGAACACAAAAACCATTGCAAAACCTAGCACTGAACTTAATGTTAATGCCTATAATGTTAATATTGCATGTGATTTTGTATCACTTACCTTGAGTATACCACGTCAGGAACACTTTTGTGCTGTTACTGACCTCATTGACCATAGCTCCAGGTAGGTAATTTCATGCCCTTTTTCCATTTCCATTTAAATAATTAAGTTAGTTGTATGTTCGTAATGGACTATATTTTCAGACTCCATCCATACATAGGACTCAGACTATTGTTTCCTGAACTCATAGCATATGAAAACAAGTCAGCTGTATTTGGTATACTTGTCTCATTTGTCTCCTCACTGTCAGTTCCATTTATCCTTATTTACATCACAGTCCCATATGAGAGGTAAATAAGGATAAACTGAATCGACAATTACATATATACCAGAATTGCAAAATTGATACAATTGAGCCAAAATATGGTGTTTCATATGTGTACAAATTCATTTAAATGGTGAGGAAAAAAGTAAGTTGGGTGTTGTTTTTTTTAAGGTTACCTTGCCTGTGATTCAATTAGTCTATACGCAAAATATACTTTTGGTCAAATTCTCAAGTTGAATTGAGGTGAATTGTCCCACGTCATTATGTCTCAATCTTCTGCTCTTTCTGCATTAGGGACGTGCACAGGTGAAAATGTGCTTAATTTAATTAAACTTCAAATCTTTGTCTTAAATCTGGAAAATATTGATTCGGATGACCCAAATTTCAATCAAAATTTTTTGTTAAATTCTGAAATTCAGAAACCAATTATTCCCCACAGGACGCAGTCACAAAGTTGCGAAGTCCCAATTTAGAAAGTTATCTGCTAAACTGTTAAAAGATCAAAATAAAGAAAAACCCTTTTCTTGATTTTGTCCTTTTAGCTGTTTAGTAGATAACTCCATAATTTGCAATCCTTGTGTGGGATTTCCATAAGAATACCAATTATGAAATAAGGGAGCTATCTGTTAAACAGTGCACTAATTTGTTACCCTTAAATAAGGCAAGCCCACTTAAGGGTACTTATTAGGGAGTATTCTACTAACTGCTGAAAGAGCAAAATCAAGAAAATATTTTCTTAATTTAGTTCTTTCCTTTCTTTAGTAGATAGCTCCTGAATTTAGTTTCCTCAATTATGGCAATCCCATATAAGGATACCAGACTAGAGAATCTGGACAAAATTGCATTCATAACAAAACCAATTGTATATATCTAATCTGCATTGTGTTAATCTCTCCGTGTATTAAATTATTCAGAATTAGTGTTACCACATGCTCCAAACCTATTTTTTTCCAGATAATTATGTGTAGAAACATTAATGGGACGCTATAGTCCCCAAAACAACTTTAGCTTAACACAGCAGGTGTGGTGTATAGATCAGTCTCGTGAATTCTTTGTCATTTAGGAGTTAAATCACTTTGTTTAATCAGCCCTTGTCACACCTCTCTGCATGTGACATACATAGCCTTCCTAAACACTTCCTGTAAATAGAGATCTAATGTTTACACTTCCTTTGTTGCCCATTCTGTTTAATTTAGAATTTATTATCTCCTATTAATATCTTCCTAGACCTTGCAGGAGCCTCCTATGTGTGATTAAAGTTCAATTCACAGAGCAAGAACTGAAAACTTATAAAGTAAGTAAACATCTGTTTGAAAAATAAAAAAATACATGTCATACAGGCTGTGTCAATCACAGCCATGGGAGGTGTGGCTAGGGCTGCATAAATAGAAACAAATTTGATTTACATGGTAGAAAATTGACCACTGATACTTTAGAGGCATAATCTATACACAAAAACCACTTCATTAAGGTAAAGTTGTTTTGGTGATTATAGTGGGCCTATGATGACCTGAATTGATAGCCATGATCAGCAATCGGTTCTATTTCATTTGATCAGTTACATAAAACTTGACCAGACCAGTCCACATTCTGAAGTATCTGACTACAGCTACTTATTGTCAATTTTTACACATTTATTTTACATATGACTGCACTGGACTCTTCCAGAAGGTTCCTAGTACCTTAGATATGGCAAAATTGAGTGTTAGCAAGGATCTGTCCATGTGTGCACACAGTTTTCATCTAACCAGCTCAAGGTGCCCAAATGTTGTTGGTCCACAACTTCCTACTTCTTTCCCAGAACTAAGAAACCTTAACATACAACCAAAAACATGTAGTGTGCTACAGTTCGAGATCCTCCATGTCTCCTATGTGATGACCACTGTGAAGTTTTACACACACATACCATCACACACTAAATGTTACCAGCATTCACTGTACTGAGCACAGAGGAAAAATCCCTAGGTTAATACACTGATGAAGAATCTAGCAAACATAAAATGCAATTTCTAATTAAACAGGGGATGAACAAAAGGTCATAGTCCCCAGAGAATCTGTCAAATCATGCTAAGGTTTTCTGTGCACTGCATTTTGTTTGTTGAAAATAGCATTTTAGGTTAACCCAATTATGTCTTGTCCATATTAACCCCCAATAGATCTATATTTATGGAAGTCTCTGCTTAAGCATATGTAAATTTACTCTAAATCGGTTATTTATCCTGATCAGCTGTAACTAATCAAATATGTGGAAATATATGGAGATGCTCACTTAACCAGGAATATTGGGATTTAAGCCAAAATAACTGAAATTAAAGAAAATCTTAAAATCAGCTCTTTTTTTAGCATATTTCAATCATTTTCCATCATTTGAAATAAAGACCTGAAGACTGCCAGACTTTGCATCAACAGAGATCTTGAGGATAAAAAGTAAGTCTAATTGTATCCATTTTGAAGTGACTACTCAAAACTTAATCATCTTCTCTAAACTCTTTTAGTTATTGTTGATTGATCCCTTTATGGGTTTGCTGTTTGAAATTTCCCGTAGCCTCGTTTCTTACCATTCTTTTGTGATATTCCCTTTTGCCTTTGTTTTTGTTTTTCCAATGTGGGTCTTTTTACTTTAAATATGGTAACGATACTAGGATAAAGTGTGGCACCAAAAGCTCGGAATGCAGAAAAAGAGTGTGGAAGGTGCGAAGGCAAGCCAAAAAGCTGAGCTTATTTGCAGACTCACTTTTTTAGAATTGATTTAAGACCCACAATGCAAATATAAGGTGCAGCATACCAAAAGAAAACAATTTAACATTGTTTATACCGTGGTGGGTACATAGTCACAAGTTAACAACTTAAATAGTTAAATTCCATGATTTAGTGGCTTACGGTTCTGATGTGGTCACAGATCTCAAGCCCAAGACAGACACACAGAAGGACAGCAGGATAAAGTTCATGTTGAATTACACAAACACAATCTGGCTTAAATCCCAGTTTGCTAGCTGCCTTCCCTTTTATAACATTGGGGAAAAGGTGGAGCTTTATAACATGGAATAAAGGAGGAGTGCTTACAGTAATCATGTTCTGCTTTTGCCCAGGATGAGGACATTGATCATACTATCCAGAGGTTCCTCTCTAAAACGGAACTTGGCAGAGAAACAACATTTCTGCATGAAACATCAGCTTTTCATTTGTTTTATTAAAGCTATGCAAAGGAGAATGAAATGTGTTAAGCCAAAAACCACAAACCAGAGTCCTATTAACACACACAGAACACATGGACAGGATAGATCTTGTTAAAAAACAGGAAGTTAATTGGCTTCAACATCATGCTGAAACCATTGCACTTGTTTAGTGTATGAATTCACGGCTATACCTACATAGCACACACACGTATTATGTTAAACTAGAATTTTTATCCATACAGAAACTTGCTTACTATCTATTTGTCTTTTTGTATCTCTACTCTACTCAAACCTTCTTTAGTCTACTCGGAGAAGCTTACCACCTCCCCCTACCTCCCTAAACTCCAGACACGTGTTCCTACCATGATCCTCACAATTTGACAACTTCTTCAATGGAATACTTATGTCCTTGGAGGGCAGGGTCCTTTGCCCCTCTGTTCCTATGTATCGGTGTATAACTATATTTATGTGACGCTAACCTTTATGTAATTTTTGTTAAACTATCCTTGTCTGTACATTGTTGTTTGTTTGTTTGTTTGTTTGGTGCACAGTAGATTCTATAGTACTGTACAATATAAAAAACAAACAAATAAATAAATAAATAAAAACACTGCATGTATAAATAGTTAAAGAGAATGTAATGCTTTGATATACATAACTTTATATGAAATAGGTGGCATATATGGTCAGTTTGAGCATTAATGGGACATTATAATTATTAGTGAATCTGAGACAGATTGATTTACCTTTTTAAGGACATCTGGTCACATTTAACAATGTTTGGTTACATTAAATCTGTCCAGTAAAAAAACAAAAATATATATAAAAAAAATACAAATCATAATATTTGCTAAACGATTGAAAAAAAGTACATACATACAAGTACAATAAATTAGGCCTATTTGCAGGATTTGAGTCAAACAAGCAGCACCATTGTAAAATACATGTTTTGGGTAGTTCTTAAGGTTTATTTTTTTTAATGAAAATAATTGTGACAAGCAGGGCCAGCCTTAGGCCTTTATAGTGCCGCACTGATCTTCAAAACAATACAACTCCAAGTAATGCATATCACAAAGCTCCCCAACTATAAAACAGAGTAATGTGTATTTTGTATGACGAGTACCACTGTAATACATCTCACAATAATATAATGTAATGTATGTGTGTGTTGTCTGTGTGTGACTCGCGGATAGGTGTGATGGCTGTGTGTCATATGTATGCTATGTATTGGTTGTTTGGGATATTTGTAATGTGTGTAATGGCTGTGTGTGATATTTGTGATGGGTATTTAATTCAGATTTAAATATGCATGTAAGCACATTTGTGAATGTGTGTGTGTGGATTTTGCAGTGTTATATGCGCACAGTCCCTCAGTCACACACACAGTCAGTCACTGTTATACACATGCACTGTCAAATACAGCCACATGCAAAGTCCCAGGCATATGGTAACAGTTACACAGTGACACACACAGTCACACACACAGTGACATACATAGTCACAGACAGACAGTCACACACATAGTCTCTCTGCCAGTGTGTGTCTGCATGAGACTATCTCACATCCTGCTGTCTATTTAGCTATTAAAGGCAGTCAGTCACACACACACACACACACACACACTTACTTACAGAAGTCAGTCACACACAGATACAGTCAGGCAGTCACACACACACACACATGGTTACAGGAAGTCACACATTCTTACACACACCAATACAGGAAGACAGTCACACAAATAGTCACAGTGGAGAGAAACAATGCAGCATGAAATACAATGAGTAAAAGGTGATATACAACTTTTTTTGATGAAAAGAAACCAATAGAACACAACCCCCTCCACCCCAAGAAAAAAAACTAAAGAAGTTGTTTTGTTTTTCAATTTTAGTAGGTTTATTCAGTAAACACTAAACTGCAGTAAACTGAAAATTAAATTTAGACTAAAATAACCAGGATGTAGCTGAGTTGGATACATTTTCCTAAATGTCGCTTTTGGTTTTTCACCTAACTATAATTCAGTGTTTTGCAGCTGGAATCCAAGATTGGAATATTAGAGGCAACGGCCATTGGTTTGTTGAACGCTGACTTCTTCTGTTGTAAACAATAAAAGGTTTATTTCACTAAATAGAAGGGCTGCCGACACAATGTGCTATTTTATTGTAATTTATTGGTTTTGCAGACCTATTTATTTCCTGCAAGCAGCCCACGTTCAGATCCACAAACAAACACACAGCGTATTCTGGTATTTAAAACAGGGACCGAAAAGATGTGCAACTTGACTTAGAATTCAATAATGAGCTGATACATTTACTATAGCACAGGGGTCACCAAAAGTTAGATGTTTTAAAACTACAGTTTGAATGATGGTTTGTCATTGTAAAGGCATTCTAAATCCATGCAAAGCACCATGGGAGTTGTAGTTCTGAAACATCTGGGGTTTTATTCACCAATAAGTGACCAACAGAATGAAAATTGGCTTAAAGAGTGCAAAACATAGTATATCCACTAGATGTCAGTAAAGGATAACAATACAATAAACTCCATGTGTCTGTGATGTTCAATTTACAGGTGATACTCGAAAAATTAGAATATCATGCAAAAGTTCATTTATTTCAGTAATGCAACATAAAAGTGGAAACTAATATATGAGATAGACGCATTACATGCAAAGCAAGATAGTTCCACCCCCATACTCTCTCCATTATTTGTCCCTTCTAATAGTAAATACTATCACCTAACTGTGCATTAATCTCCATTTCTGCCCAGAGGCCCATCATCTACCAAACCAGTAACAAAAAAACCCAGCAAAACGTAATTTTCATTAAAATGTTCCCAACCGCCAAATGTAAATTCTGCACCAAAAAGTCAGTTACTGCATGCTGACAACGGATATAATTCAAGGTAAAGCAATGTATTAGATGATTGTAATTGCTGTACAGACAATGAGGGACACTTTGATCGTAGGGGTGTAAGTCAGGGTGTGGCCAGGGGCGGGACTATTCTGAGAAATTTTAGGTGACTAAACAATAAAAATGTTTGCAACTAAAACTAAATTTAAAACAAGAACAATGTATCCTATTTACATAGACTGATTTCTAAACACTGTTATTGAAGTTTAACCCCTTAAGGTCAGCGGGCGTGCTATGCCGTCCTTAGGGACCTTGCTCTAAACGCCGGTGGATGGCATAGCACGTCCCCACTGTCCTTTGTACTTATCCGGTTGCCGGCGATTCCACGCCAGCGATCGTGGTGTGGGGACTCACCTTGCATCCCAGGGAGTCCCCCTGCTTCAATTCCGGCCCCCATGGACAATTCGATCGCGAGGTCCTTGTGAGGACCTCAAGATTACGTGCCGTCCACAGCAGTGCCAACAGGGGGAGTGCCTGTAATGACAGGTACTCCCCCTGCTGCCTGTAAAACAATAATATAACTTTTAAACAGTGTAAAATACAATTATATACTTATCATATATATACTATATGTGATCTAAGTATATATATACACATACACTCTCTAAGTGTGTTTTAATATTAATATATATATATATATATGTATATATATATATATATATATATATATAATTACATATATATATTAACATAAAAGTACATGTAGAATGATATTGAATATATATATATATATATATAATTATATATATATTTGTATATAATATAAAATAAACATGTAAAGACGTTAAAAAAAAATTAAAAAGAATATATGTGTCATTTGGTTCTAACTGTATTTTGAGATATATATATATATATATATATATATATATATATATATATATATATATATATATTATAAAAATACATGTAGAACGAAATAATATATATCTATATACTTAAGTATATACGTATATATCACTATATTTATACCTATATATAAATAAAAATAATTTTAAAAATTATATATGTAGAAAGGTCATTAGGCCTGAATTTGTGGGAAGAGTAAGTCCCCTGCTTAAACTCCCAGCCCCTACTCACCTCTGCTGTTCAAGTTGATTGTCAGCTGTCTAATCTCCATAGCAGCACTTCCAGTCCGAGATTCCCACCAAACAGCTCCAGTCTCCAGCAGTAGAGGTGTCCAGCTGAATCCTCCGTCCGTCCGTTCTGCAACCCTGCCACCTGGCTTCTCCCTGGTCGCGGTATCCGGCTTCTGGTCACGAGACCGTCACGCTCATGTTAGCTTGTGAGGGAAATAGCATTCGGCTGTTTCCCTCTGTTCCCTTTTTTCTTATACATTAACTATTCGTGTATCCTTACCCGTTCATGCACTTCTGCGGTTAGTGCTACTTAATTAGTCGAACGCTGGCTATACTTACGTTTCGTGGGTCCTTCGTGCGGTCTAAACTACCGACACTTGTTTGTGTAAACTCTTGTGTAAATTTCATTAAATTTCATTAAAATTCTTGTCTACCGTTCGTTCATACAAATGAACTATGTACATGTATACTTACCCGTTCGTTAATTTAGCGGTTCGTGCAATTTTCTGTTTGTTTAAAAAATCTGTTCCCTCACATACTTACCCGTTCGTGCACTTCTGCTGTTCGTGTGGAATTAGTCGAATGCAGACGATACTTAAGCTTCAGTGGGTTCCCTGTGCGATCTAAACTGCCGACCCCTGTTCTTGCAATTATCAGATTTCGTTCGTACGAACTAAACAAACATATATATATATATATACTTACCCGTTCGCTTACTTAGCTGCTTGTATTAAGTCTGTCGAAATTAGTTAAAAATCTGTTTATTACTGCAACCATTTACTACTACTGTGGTTCTTGGTTTAATTATGTTTA